AACAGGATTTGTTTAACTGAATCTATCCTTTAAAATTCTTTGTATATTAATTACCTTTCAAAATGTTCCTTTCACACTTTCAGCAAGGTCTGCCCCCTGGTGGTGTTTTTGTTTTGGAATCCTGGGAAAAGGACTAACCTTGCTCTATGTAGAAAATAGAGAAGACAGCCAGTGATAAGACTCAGAGGTGGGAATGGATAGCGTTGTCCTGGATGGAGCTGAAGTTAGATGACTAGCAGAGATTGAGGTGAATTAGGTCACTTCGGGACAGAAGTTTTTACTTGATTCCACAGAGACATTAAGAGACTAAGGGATGTGTTGTGGTCATGTGGCACTCCTGTTGGATTTTTTTTTTGGGGGGTCAGTGGTCAAGAGTGGATTTAGAGGAAGAGAGGCTGAGAAGCTTTGTAAGAGGAAATTATCCCTAATTCCTACAGGGAGAGTTCAGGTGGAAATAAAAAGAATATGATGGGGCTATAATGCAATGGCTGCTAGATGATGCAGTGGATAGAACACTGGGTCTGGAGTCAGGAAGGCCTTAGTTCAAGTCTGACATAAGACACTTACGAGCAGTGTGACCCTGGGCAAGTGACTTAACCCTATTTGCTTCAGTTTCCTTATCTGTAAAATGAGCTGAGAAGGAAATGGCAAACCACTCCAGTATCTTTGCCAAGAAAACCCCCAAAATGGGTCATGAAGAGTCAGACATGACTGAAATGACTAAACACACAATGTTTCAGAAATACTAATTTTAAAGGAATGATGGTTAGAGATAGAATGCTCAAGGAAGCGGATCACATGCAGAAAAAGCAAAGTCTGTCTGTTCAGAACTCTAATTGGAAAGCCTCACCATCAGTCAGTCAATAAAGATTTATTAAATATCTACAGTGTTCCAGGAACTGTGCTAAATATGAGGATACAAAACAAAACAAAACAAAATCAAAGGCAAGGAGCTCACAGTCCAATGGGGGAGAAAATAGCAAGCAACTATGTAAAAAAATTAGCTATAAAAAACAAATGGGATATAAAGGATGTGAAATCATATATCTATACATAAACACATATACACATATATAGCTATAAATGATAGCAAATAGAATGTAAAGAATATATAATTATGTTATGCATAACTATAAAGTTTAACAAAAAAAGGATGAATAGTAGATAATCAATAGAGAGAAGACGCTAGAATTAAGAGGGATTGGGAAAAGATTCCTGTAGAAGATGGGATTTTAGCTAACACTTGAAGGTGGCCAGGTAAGCCAGGGGACTGAGGTGAAGGAGAAGAGTATTCCATGCGTGAGGGACAGCCAGTGAAAATACCATAAGTTGGGAGATGAAGTATCTTGTGTAAAAAATAACAAGGAGGCTGGTGTCACTGGATTATATATTATGTGGGGGAAGAAGGGAATAAGGAAGGCATAAGAAGACTGGAAAAGTTAGGGAGAACATCGAGGCTTTTATATTTGATCCAAGAGGTGATAGAGAACCAGTGGGATTCATTGAATAGGAGCATGACATTGGCCAGACCTATGCTTTAGAAAGACCATTTTGACAGCCAAGTGGAGGGTGGACTGAAATAAGGAGAGACTTGTGGCAGGCAGACCAACCAGTAAGGTATTGCAATAGTTCAAGTAAGAACACCAGAGTGGTGGCAGTGTCAGAGGAGAGAAGGGAACACATACAAAGATGTTACAAAGGTAAAGTTGACAAGCTTTGGCAACAGATTGCATATAAGTCATGAGAAAAAGTGAAGACTTAAGGATTACATCTAAGTTGTAAGTCTGAATGACTGGAGAGATGGTAGTCCCATCATCAGTAATAGAGAAATTTGGAGGGGGGAAAAGTTTGGGGAAAAATATAAAGAGTTTAATTTTAGACATGGTGCATTTAAGATGTCTGTGAGTCATCCAGTTTGAGATGTCCAATAGAGAGTTGGAGATTTGAGATTGGAGGTCAGTAGAGAAGATAGGGCTGGATAAGTACATTTGAGAATCATCAGCATAGAGGAGATAGTTGAATCCAGGAGAGCTGGTGAGATCACCAATGGAGAGAGAAGAGAAGAAGGCCCAGGACAGAGGCCTGGAGGACATCCATGGTTAGAAGGCATGACCTGAATGAACCAGCAAAGTATATTAAGGAGTGAGCAGATAGATAGGAGAACCAGGAGAGAATGATGTCTCAGAAATCTAGAGAGAAGCGAATATCAAGGAGAAGAGGGTGAATGGCAATATCAAGGCTTGTCAAGAAGAGTGAGGGTTGAGAAAGGGCCATTAGATTAGACAATTAAGAGATGATTGGTAACTCTGGAGAGAGCAGTTTTGTTTGAATGATGAAGTCAGAAAACAGCCAAACTGTAGAGAGTTCAGAAAAGAGTGAGGAGAAAGGAAGTGATGGCATCATTATAGATATGGCCTTCTCAAGGACTTTAGCCATGAAAAGGAGGAAGGATATGGGATGATAGCTAGTGGGAATGGATGAATCAAAAAAGTTTTTTGGAGATGGCAGAGATATGGACATGTTTGTAGGCAACAGGGAAGTAGCTGGTAGATGGGGAGAGATTGAAGATAAGTGAAAAACTGATAGAAAGGACAGTCTACTGGAGAAGAAGGGATAGAATGGAATCATTTGTGCTTGTAGAGGAGTTTGCCTTGACAAAGAGAAGAGTTGCCTCTTCATGTGATACAGGGTAAGGGAGGAAAGAGTAGAAGGCAACTGCATGATATGAGATGGGAGGAGGAGAGAAGAGGAAACTCTTGTTGAATTACTTTCATTTTTCTGTAAAATATGAGACAAAGTTCTCATCTGTGAGAGGAGAAGCCTCTCTTGGTTTGAGGAGGGATAAAAAGGATTTGGAAGAACTGCTATGGTGAGTGGAATAATGAGTCAATTAGGGAGATTTAAAAGGAATTTTATCTTGATTCTTATGGAAGCCTAAGATTCAATGAAGTGGTGATGAGGAGGGATTGAATTCCTGGTCCTGGCAAAGGAAGGGGGTGAAAGATGAAATGCCTTTCATCAGTGAAAGCCCAATTGAGGTTCTGTAACATAAATTTTTAGTGGACTCAGTAAGCATGGTTTCATAATTTTCTCCAGCTTTATTTAGCAGTACATTTATGGAAGCAAAGGTAACTAACGGTAGGAGTGATCCTAGACTGAGACTTGGTAGGGCTGGATCAGTGAGAGAAAAGGACAGTGCAGAGGTGAACTGTTTCACCAAGGGGTGAGGGGGAAAGTATAAGTAGTGCTGGCATGATGGGCTGGGAAATAACTAAAGGGTTGAGCTATTGGAGGACATGGTGTGGATGAAGAATTAGGTTTGGTATTGCAAAGGAGAGGTAAGGTTTAGTGATGATAATACAAAAGATAATACCAGAATAGGCCAAAATGGTTTCTCTACCTCTGCCCCATTTGAAATGCAAATCTCAATAGTCTATATTTTTGCCAGTGAACATGAATAATATTTTTAGAATAAAAATTAAATCCAAATAGAACTCGGGCTTTTAAAATACTTTGCCAGTACCTAAATTTTTAGCCAAGACTTCAAAACACCTTTTCATATATTGGCTCACTTTCACACTTCTTGGACAACAAATAAGCATGCAGCTATCTGTCTGTCTGTCTGTCTATCTATCTATCTATCTATCTTTTTAGAGAAAATAGTGGTGTCCCAAATTATGAGGAAATTCAGTTGTAGAGGAAGAGGGTTTTTTCAATGTCAGTGAAGCACATTGGAAAGATAAGCATTAAGCTTACTGACAAACTCCAGATGCAAAATGATCCAACCTGAGCTACCATCATCTCTGGCCCCAGTGATCTGACTAAATCCTGTTCTTAAATAGTGAGAATTGAAGCATAGCCAATCTAATAAAAAATTATTAAGCAACTAGTTGAAAGGTTCATTGATAAATGCTTGGGGTACAGACAAAATAAAAAAAAACTGTTCCTACCTTCAACAGGCTTACATTCTACTGCCAGGGTATCAAACTATTTACATACATAAGCCTATCACAGGCTTATTTGAGAAAGCAGAGGGGGAGGAAGAAGATTCTGGTAGGGAGTAACACATAAGTTGATTCTTAGCGGAAGCCTAGGATTCTATTAAGAGGAGATGAGGAGGGAATGAATTTCTGGCCCAGGAGACATTCTGGCAAAGGCAAGGGGGTGAAAAGATGAGATTCCAAGTGCAGGGGATAACCGGTTAGACTGGAATATAAATTACACAAAAACTATTGTGAACAGATCTGAGAAGACATACAGCAGCAGCATTGTGAAAGACTTTAAATGCCAAGCTGAGGAGGTTGCATTTTATCTTAGAGCCAGTAGAGAGCCATTGAGGAGTGATATGACCGAACTTGTGCCTTAGGAAGCTTACTTTGGCAGCTATGTGGAGGATTGGAGACGGGAAAGATTGGAAGCTGGCAGTCTATTTAGGAGGTTGTCACACTACTCCAAGGAGGAGGAGGTGGTGGTGACAGCAGTGAGAATAGAGAGGAGTAGAATGTGGGTGATCTTTTGGAGGTAGAATTGGTAAGATTTGGTGTCCAATTGGATCGATGGGATGAGGGAGAGAAATCAAGGAATTTAGATGTTGCCAGCCTACTGAACTGAAAGGCGGCAGTAGTTATCAGGGTTCATCATAATATATAAGGAAACATGTATTTCCTCTTCGATCATAGGGGTATACAGTGTTATAAAATGGTAGCACCAAATTCTTCACTATAATATATAAAATTATATTTTTAAAGTGATAATCTGGATTATGGTTGGCCAACATTAAGTAAATATTACTTTTGTTAAAATCATGTATCATATTATTCCAAGAAAATTTTGTCAGTGTTTTCTTATGTAGAGTCACATGCACAAGTGTCATTTAAAAGATTCTCAAGTGCTGTTTTTTTTTTTAAGTGCTGTTTTCCTAATCAGGATATATCTTTGCATTATAATTAAACTATGTTGTGGTGGGTTTTCTTCCCCCCTTTCTCTTTCTTTCTCCTTAGTATAATGGAATGTGCATACAAGGACCTGCTGGGGTTCCTGGCAGAGATGGAAATCCTGGAGCCAATGGCATCCCTGGTACTCCTGGAATCCCAGGTCGGGATGGATTCAAAGGTGAAAAGGGTGAATGTCTGAGAGAAACCTTTGAAGAGAGCTGGTCACCCAACTATAAACAGTGTTCGTGGAGTGCACTTAACTATGGGATAGATCTTGGGAAAATCGCAGTAAGTAAATTTAGAATTTTTCCAAGCTGAGATATCCAGATTGCAAGGTTTGTGTGTTAAGTCTCTAGTTAAATTTCCTACATCTGGCCCAAAGTCATCTCAAGACTTCTAATTCAAGAGCAGACACCCTGACAACTTTAAGTTAAAACAAACTTAGCTTCAGTTTCCAAGTATAAAAAATAGATCATAATTCAGAGCCAATTTCATAAAAGAAGTCATCAGACCAACACATTACCCTGCTGTCTTACCTAGTGTCTAAAAATGACTCTAAAAATGTTTAGGTAAAAAATAATAAAAGTGAATGTGGAAGCTTCATTAAATGAGGAACTCTTAAGAATATGTCTAGGGGGTAATTCTTCAGTCATAGAAGTGCCCTTGATTTGAAATGGATTGTCGTAAAAGCTTGGCCAAATTTAAGGAAGGCAAGAGTAACAGTGTGAACTATTTCAGATTATGTTGCTTTATCATATTTGTATTTGAAATAACAGCCTATTAGACAATACATTTTGATCAAAGATCCAGTCAAATTAAATGGTTAAATCTGCTTCAGAAATAGGCTGTGTGAGTGTGAGGATAGAATAGTGTCAAAGCACTCTCTGGGATTTAACACTCTTGGGCCTACAATTCTGTAGTACAATTTTGATTGATCCTTCTCAGGAGGAAACTCTTAATTCCTCCCCCGCCCCCCCAAGTATTTGATTAAGAGTACATTTCTGATTAGGAATACATGGGAATCAGCCCTAATTGATATGAATTCAACCCCTGGCAGAATTCTGTTACCAGAGAACTAGGAAAAACTTTTGTACGAGTTCTGAATTTGTATCATTCAGCTCCATATCTTTGCACTGTAAGGAATGTGGGCCATTGCTTGATATATAAATATACAAAATTTTAGGGCAGTATCAATTAGGTGACCACCTTATATGAGTAAAATTTTAACATGACTGTTGTAGTTTTAGCAACTGAGGGATTTATGCTGGCATCTAATTTCCAGGAAAGTGTTCTCTTAAAATAAATGCCCAGATATTTAAATCCTCAACACTAATGAATAGGTTGATAATTTGCAGCCCATCCAAAGCTGCTAGGTTTCTTTCCATTTAATTTATATTTATTTATAGTATCTGTTATGTACAGTGATCTATGTTAAGCTCTAAGGATACAAAGATGCAGACCTTTTCCTCAAAAAGTTTAAAATCTAGTCAAAGAATGGAGTCAGGAAGGATTGAGACAGGTATACAAATACCTATGATTTAAGTTAGAATATGTTTTTGTGCACAGGAAAGCTCAGAGAAGCATGAGAGATTCAAGAAGGGAAGCATCCTTTCTAGCCAAAAAGATCAAGGAAGGCTTCATGGAAGAAGTGACACTTAAGTGGGACCTTGAAAGAGAAGGATTCAGTAGGTAGAGATGAAGGAGAGTCCTCATCACGCCTGGGGAATGTCATGTAGAAATGGGAGAGGGTAAGACAAGATGAGAGAAGAGTGGGGAGTACAGTTTGGCCAGAGTGAAATGAAAAGACATTCTGTAAAACAAGGTTAGAGACAGTGGGTTAGAGCCAGGTTGTTCAGGGCCTGAATGCCCTAAGGAATTTCCTTTTTCTTGGGTAGACAATAGGAAGTCACTGAAAGTTGTTGAGCTGGGAAGTGACCTGATCAAATATGGACATCAGGAAGATTTCTTTGGCAGCTCGGTCAAGGATGGATTAGGGAGGAGAGAGAGGCATGAGGCAGGGAGGTTAATTAGAAGGCTAATATAATAACCCAGGTGAGAGGCAGTCTGAGCTTAAACAAAGATGGTTTCAGTGGTAGTGGAAAGGAAAAGAGGGATATGATACATACTTTGAACAAAATACAGATCTTGGCAAGTGATTGGATATGAAGGATGAAGGGAAGGGAAGAGTGGAATATAACTCTTTAGTCAGGCAAAAGGGCAGGTCTGGAGGAGAGATGCTGATCTGTTCTGGATTTGTTAAATTTGAAATATCCGCAGAACATAGAGGGACCCAGCAGGCAGTTAGAAATGTGGGACTGCATTGCTAAGAGATGTGGAAGCTAGAGAATGGATATAGGAATATTAGATTGAGGTGATCATTTGAAGCTAATGTGGATGAGATTGTCAACGGGTAGACTAGGGAGTTGGAAGAGGACTTAGGACAGAGTCTTGGGGGATGTCCACTATTAGGGGTTGGGAACAGGAGGAAAAATTGAAGTATTACCAAGATGAGTGGTCAGAAAGGTTTGAAAGAGAACCAAGTAAACAGTGTCACAGAAATCAAGGGAGGACAGAGATTCAGGAAAGAGTGGGGGTGGTGAACAAGAGTATTAAATGCTGAATAGAGATCCAATGATGGGGACTGAGAAGAACCCTTTGGGCCATTTAATAATAGCTGTAGCACCAGGCATTGTGCTAAGCACTTTACAATTATTGCCTTTTTTGATCCTTACAACAGCCCTGGGAGGTAGGAATTATTATTATCCCCATTTTACAGATGAGGAAACTGTGGCAGACAGCAGTTAAGTGACTGGTTCAGGGTCACACAGCTAATAAGTATCTGAGGCTGGATTTGAACTCAGGTCTTCCTGACTCCAAATCCAACAATCTATCCACTATGCCACCTAAAAAACATTGCATTAGTTTTTTAATATTAATTATTTGGAGAATATTTTTCTTTGCAAGAGTTGCAGTGGTTAATATCTTTTTGAACCTATGTGACTACAAATTAATAGGATCATATTATTCTCATAAAGGACAGATTTTGGCAAAAAATTTAAATTTTAATTAACTAAATTAATTAAATAGCCCTTAATTTTAAAGGATGAAAAAAGAGGCCAAGGGAGAGAGCAAAATTAAAAAGACAACCTTTAAATGATGTCATTAAGGTGAAGACTGAATAGCAGTCAGTCTAATGTGTTGTTTTTTTTTTTCCAGCCAAAGACAAGGTTTATTAAAGATCCACCATGTTGACCAGACACTTAAGGAATCTAAGCATTTGTATCACTAATGCAAGTGGGCCAGATTTTAAGAATCTGAGCCCTTGGCTAGATTCTTAAGAATCTGAGCATTTGTGAGCCATTGCAAGTGGGCCAGATTTTGAGAATCTAAGCACCTTAATGGAAACAAGATGGACCTTATATACAGAAAGACTGTGGGAGGGATCTTGGAGTGGCCAAGCAGTTTGGGGTGACTGGAAGAGGGGTCTGGGAGAAGGGGTATCTTGATGAGTATGGCCAGTAGGCGGGTGGCTGGAGGAGGAGTCTAGGGAGGATCTTGATGGGAGTGACTGGGAGGTGGAGAATGGGGTCTAGATGGAATCAGGGGTGGGAAGTAGCTGAAGATAATAGACAATGGAGGGCCGGGCTAGGTTAAGGGTAACAGACAATTGGGAGATTGGGCGTGAGTGATAAGGAAAGGCCAGTTGATGGAATTACAGCCTCAGGGGAATGCTAGAGACTTCCTTGATTAAGTGGTAGAATCAAGGAGAGTTCAAAGAGGGCCTGTAGACAAAGGGGACCCAGATTTTTTTGGGGTGAGGGCAAAGGTATCAGGCAGTAGCCCATTATTCCCCATTATCTATGTCAATATCACAAATTCCATGAAGCCATTGTTGAATCAGGAAGAAGCTTTATTAACGACCTGGGAAGGCTAGGCGTCCTGCATGTGTGAGAGCACACATGTGAGAGCACGTGTATGGACAAATGCACACCTTTTTATTTCCTGTTCCCCATTCAAATTTCCTTCCCCTGTTTCCCCATTCATTGGGTACTATAGAGATTACAGCTTATTCGAAGCACATAATTTCCCCACGTGAGTCTCTGCCCCTAATTACATCTCCCCTCCCCACAATTTGGTGACCCTGGCCCTTGCTTGGGAACACCCTTTTTTTGTTATCCTCAGAACTGGTTTTCCTACCTGTTAGTTAATATAACTCCCTTTTGTTCAACTTCCACCTAGCCCCTACACTGCATTCCTTCAGGTTTCCACTTGGTTTTTTGTGGAAAAACTATTTCTCTGACTCCAAACTCTGATTGAGTGATATGCAGAAGCAATATCCATATATCCCACATTCCCCCCCTCAAACAAATGGGACCCAAATTCTTTTGGGGTGAGGGGTGAAGATCTCTGCTTCTGAAACTGCTTCTTGCTGGCAAGGGGTGTAGACCTGTCCTTGCCTCGCTGGGTCCTATTCAAGAGGTCAGAGTTCAGGTCTAGAGGGCTAGAGACCTTGAACTCGGTCAGTCCAGTGTTAAAAGAGATGCATGGACTATATAGTCTCTGATCACAGTCAGTGCGTGTGATTATTTTGTCACTTAATATAGGGAAGAGCTTTATAACCAGTCAACCAACTTTTCTAATAAAAATGTGTTTCCTCCCTAAGGGTTTCATTGTACTGTTAAAAAAATCTGAAACAAAAACCTAGTACGGTGAGTGAGTGAAGGAAGGCCTTTATTACTCTTCTTGAAAGAGAAGCAGGCACAATACACTTTAGTAGCACGTGAGCACTGGTTCAGTGGTAGAATCAACTTTTAAAACCTTAGTAAGATCCATACTCCACCCATCAGGGCTACAATTGGTCTGGTTCATCTGAGTTACACCTTTCCCGTACAGCGCATCGCATGTTCGTCCATGTTCTGTTAACTCTGCCCACTTCATGGGTCTCATGTTCAAAAATGGCGGCTATCTCCGCCCTTGGGATGTGTCAGTTAATATTCAATAAGCTTATTAAGCAAGCACCATGGAGAAAAGCCTTTGCCCTGTCAAAGCCCTGTCCTTGAACCCAATGGTTGCAACTGGTTTAGCCTCCTGGGCTCTTTCTTAAGGAACTAATTGTTTGCTATACTTTCTGATTGATTGAGGGATTATCCACAAGATCTTGGAATTTCTTACCCTGCTGTGGAAGCCTAACCCCCTAAAATCTTTCTTACAGTACTGTACATAATGTTTTGATGAACCTCTTTATTTTGCAGCTTTGTTACTACTTGGATGTTGAAAGTGTGCTTATATTTGTTTCCTGTTTGTGGAAATAGTATGAATAGAATTTAAAGATAATGTTTCTTCTGTTTGTATTAGCAGCAACAGCACTTGTTAGTATCTAAGTAGTTTCATGGAATGTTTCATGTGTTCTAGTGCTTTGACAGATTTTGAGAGGACATAAAAAAGTTGAGTCAATGTTCAGACTTGTAGACAATAAGCAACAGGATTGTTTTCTTTTTAAAAATGCAATAATCTTCCTTCCAATATTGTCACAGTAACTAAGACCAAAAATATGAATGGACTAAAAAAAATTCATCTTTTAATATGTCTAATTTTTTTTCCAGTTTGATGATGAGGTGAAAACTTCAATGGAATGATTTTAATAAAATACAGTATTTATTTTGTACACAGAGAGATGCACACACATCCACAAAGGTTGAATAGAGTAGAGCTAAGAGGACTACCCTTATTTTACCTTAAGAGGCAATATGATACAAAGGGAAAGGACATTGACATTGGAGTGAGAGGATCTGGGTTCAAAACTTGGCTTTGCTATATATCTATATAGATCTATCTATTGCTCTCTATGTTATAATTAATATAATAATATAGTATGATAGATCTATATATAGATAAAAACACATATACACACGTATATTATATAGATATACACATGTATGCATACACATATGTGCACATACACAGTGCAATATAATTATTGTGTGCAACCGCATGGGATGTGCATATGTGTGTATATCTATATCGATCTATATCTATACATGTATATGTGTGTATATACATATTATGTATATCTATATCCATCTATATATCTACACCTATATATGTGGCAAATTTTGGACTCATTTTCCTAATCTTTAAAATGCAGGTGTTAGGCTAAATAACCTCTAAAGTGTTTTCTAGTTCTAAATCTATGATCCTACAACTAAATTTAACCTTTTCTCTTATTCATAATCAAGTTAAGGTGACAGATATGTATTGGCTTAGCTCCATCCAAATGCTAATAGCTCAGTTGTTTTGTCCCATTGATGCCAAAGGCTTGAACAATTAGAGCATGACTGAGATTTACTTTCCCACCATACACTGTTCCTCTTAAAGGCATAAAAATATATAATTTAGCTAGTCACACTTTTAAAATGTGGGCTGGGGAATTGAAGACAATTCACATTTTGAAAGCACATTTATATTCTGAAGGAAACAGAATGGAAAATGTGGTCTCAAGTCCATATCTCTGTTTTCACATTAGGAATGCACATTCACAAAGATGCGCTCTAATAGTGCTCTCAGGGTGCTTTTTAGTGGATCCCTTCGACTGAAATGCAAAAGCGCCTGCTGTCAGCGGTGGTATTTTACGTTCAATGGGGCTGAATGTTCTGGACCACTTCCCATTGAGGCCATAATTTATTTGGATCAAGGAAGCCCAGAAATGAATTCAACTATTAACATTCATCGAACTTCTTCAGGTATGAGAATTATGACATAGGTGAGAGAATGTCCTGTGAGACCTTCCTTGGGTTGTTTTGTTCTATGCATAGGGATGATTAACAAACCACTTTTAAAGTTCTGTTCTCATGTTAGATGAACGGATTGCTATAATCTGTTATTGCAAAGGCCTCCAGACAATTTACAAACTCAATTCAAATTACTAAACATCTTTTTGTGCCTCCTATGTATAAGGCACTCTTCTAAGAGCTAGGGGCTATAAAGATAGAAAAACAATAGCCCCTGCCTTCAGGGGCTTACATTTGAGTTACATGTGCTTAGCATATAGTAAATGCTTAATAAATGGTTATGTGACTGTTGTTAACTGACACTTTAACCTGATTTAAATGATCGTTTTTAGCATTCTACAAGATATAATACAATTAGAGTTGGTCAGTGGAGTACCAAGGCCACCACTATTGTACAGTAATAACAGCCTGATTGTCAGTTCAGCTCTTGGGAGAAGCAGTCTATCCAGCAGGAAGGGAAAACCCTCACAATCCATCCTATCCCTGGATTCTCCTCTTGAATCAAGGGTTACACCCAGTTTGAAGGGAGTGATCATGTACTTAGGGCAAAGGCTTTTTATCATCTTTTTAGGTTTTCTGTGCATAAAAGCAATATGATTGCAATATAGGGTTGCTAGATATTGTGGCATGTTTATGCCCGAAAGATTCACAAGTTGGAGATTCACTGCCTTCCTTGCTTTCTAAGATCTTTTCTAACTTGAAACCTATGCTCCTATGTTCTTTTGATCGAACTAGATAGTTCACAGAAAACTCTTGTAAACCTGAAAGCTGAGGTTAGATGTTATCACTGGTGTTTACAAATGTAGTGTATGTTTATTAGATGACCTGACTTTTCCACTATGTTTTTATATACAAATTCTTTGGGTAAATAGTCAGAAAGGTGCAGTTTAAAGTTTTACATCTGACTTCTGCTTTGGACCTTAGATCGAAAAGAGACACATTCTAAAAGCATTAAGAAAAAGCTAAATAATAAATGTAACAAAGCAACTTTTTTTAAAATGGTGTTTTCTTATTTAGTATGTGAATTTTGAAATATATGGTGAATGCTGTGCCTCCTTAAAGTGAAAGGGGCTGGTGTAGTATATTTATATTAATATGTCCCTAGAGAGAGCCCCCTCTTGTGGGTGCTCAAAAGCACTAATCAGTAGCAGCAGTGGCAGCACTACAGAGCAGGTAGAGAGTTATGAGGAGCACTTCAAAAGGACCAGGTTTTTTTTTTTTTATTTTTATTTATTTATTTTTTTAGGACCAGGTTTTCATCACTATGAGTACTTTCTCCTGTAATTCAGATTGCACCCCTTCCCTATAACAGGAGAGAGATTGTGCCCCTTCCCCATATCAGGAGAGGGTTCTCTATGAGATTCTATGACCAACCCTTTGTCATGAGCTACCCTGCATGTAACTAGACTGGTCCTTCACTGCAGACATATAGGCCATATTGGGGCTGATTTTCGAGGCACTTCCAGTGTGCTGGCCCTCCCAGAGCTTGTGCTCTGTTAGCTTGCCTTCCAGAATCCAAGGTTACCTTCATGTCAATGAGGCATTGCAGTAGGACTTTAGTGGAAGTATAAGTGCTATGTAGGATACAATCCTCTGCCAGCTAGTTGGGTCACCTTATACAAATTGTTTAACTGCTCAAGACCTCTTTCTTTATCTGGAAAACAAAGAGATAGACTATATTATGTCTATTGTCTCTTCTAGCCTTAACATTCTATTATCCTATGACAGAGAATCACAATGAGGCAGCAAGGTGCCATGGTGGAAAGAGTGCAGACTTAAAAGTTTAAATTCTGCTTTAGACACTTACTAGCTGTGTGATGCTGGAGCAGTCACTCAACTTCTCAGTCTGAGTTTCCATATCTGTTAAATGGGAATAATAGCTCCTACTTCACAGGGTTGTTGTAAGGATCAAATGAGAAAATATATGGGAAGAGCTTTACAAATCTTATATAAATGTTAGCTATTATTAGTACATAGTGAGGCAAATGACATTTCAAGTTCACGTGTCTGAAATTTAGGCCTGGAAAGCTTGATGTTGAAGTTTCTGGACTAATTTCCAGGTGATTTAAAGACAGCAGAGAAATTGGAATATTCTTGGGTACTCTCATTAGGAATCTAGGTCATTTCACAGTAGCCCTAGTATCATATTGAGAATCTTGAACTGGACCTGATTGGATGAGTAATCCCCATTGATCTAGTTCATTAGTATATATATATCTGGGACTGATGCCACAGATGGTCAGTGAGCTTCATCCAGAATCAAATAGGAGGAGAGGATCAGACTGAAAAACATTTGGGAAATTGTGTTATGTTTTCACTTGTCACAAACTCCTCACTGTTGTAAAAGTCCATCCTTTTAACAGCAATATTCTCAGAGAACCATAGAGTTAGAACTGATCTTAGAAATTAGAGTTAGTTAGAAATGATCTTAGAAGCCATCTTGAGAGATTAAGTGTGCCCAAAGTCACACAGGTAGTAAGTGCTAGAGCTGGGATTCAAACCCAGGCACTCTGATTCCAAACCAAGAATCCTTTCTGTTGCACCATACCATGGAATGCCATGCTATCTAGAAAATTACAAGTGAAGGTCATCCAAAGATATATGGTGGATATAACATTTTTGGGTTGCCAACAATGACCAGTACCCAAGAAGTAGCATTAAAATGCACTTTCACCTTAAGGGTGGTATACCATCATCAGAAAGGGTGGTGGGTCATGGCCTGAGAAAAAGAAGATAACAGATGGACAGCCTGAGTGCTAAATTGGTATCCATGGAAAGTTAAAATTAGAAAATCAAAAAAGAACCTTCAGCATCCTGGTTGACTTTTCTATGGAAGAGTTATGGAAATTCAGTAGGATGAAAAGTCATAGATACTAATTGCTGATGGAGGGAGTAGCTGCATTGATGATTTCAAATATGCATTAAAGCATTGCTTAAGGGGCAGCTAGGTGTAGCAGTTGTTAGAACTCTGGCCTTGGAGTCAGGAGAACCTGAGTTCAAATCCAGACACTTGACACTTACTAGCTGTGTGACCCTGGGCAAGTCACTTAACCTCGATAGCCTCACCAAAAAAAGAAAAAAAAAGTGTTGCTTTAAAAGGAGGTGGGGGCTAGAAATGATGTTGCGAATCTATAGTCCTTGCCGCCAGGGAGGCTGGGACTGGTGGATTGCTTGAGTTAAGGAGTTCTGAACTGCAGTAAGACAAAGTTGACTGAGTGTCTGAACTAGGTCTGGTGCCAATATGGTGAACCTCTGGAACCAGGAGCTACCAAACTGCCTAAGGAAAGGTGAACCAGCCCAGGTCAGAAATGGAACAGGTCAAAATTTCCAGGCTGATCAGCAGTGAAATCAGGCCCATTGGCTGCTGCACTTCCAGCCTGTTTAAGATGGAGGGTGGGGCAGGAAAAGTCTTTTTTAAAAAGTAGGAACTGAGCTAAGGTGAGTCAGAATGTCAATTTTACCATGATTCTTTTGTATTTTAAAATTATGTGACTGCCTCAGATGCTCTGCAAGTAGCAGTTTTTGTAAACTACAAACAGAAAAGGAAAGTATCATAAAATTTGCATTAGTGAGAAAATGATGAGTTAAGTGGAGCACTAATAAAAACCATTTTACTCTAGCCTAGCCCCACCCCTGACACATGAAAGCCGGCTTCTGTTTTTGCTGTGTCAGTTGTCAGAAAGTGTTCTAACAAAATAAGAGGCACATCTTAAATCAAATTCTTCCACTTTGAAAAATAGAATAGATTTCTGTTGGTTGTGGTATTGATTTTTTGTGTGTGTGCTTTTCTATTTCTTTGGGAGCTTAAAAATTCTACTATATAGGTGTTTTGTTTTTTTTTTAAATGACAGGCTACTTGCATAACAGTGATAAGTTCAACATTTTTCAAAAATAATTTATAAAATTTAAACTAAGAGATGAATCAATATTTGTGGTAACCCATATTGATACTGACTGTAGGAATTTATAATCAATCAGTTATGCTAATTCCTATGTTAAGCAGCCTTGGGTTTGGTATCAGACTTGTAATTAGCTAAAATAACAACAACAAAAAGCTGATTGACTGTTGTGAAATCTCAGGGAGGTTCTAACTGTGGTCCTTGTTTCCCAGTGGAAGGTCTATGTGAAGGAATCAGTGCCGGGTTAGTGGACATTGCTATCTGGGTTGGCACCTGTGCAGATTACCCCAAAGGAGATGCCTCGACTGGATGGAATTCAGTGTCCCGAATCATCATTGAAGAACTCCCAAAATGAATTCTGCAAGTCCTCATTCCCTACCTCCTTTTGTATACATTTTAAACAGTTTATTTTAAGAAATATTTTGTACTTTGAAAAAATAAGTTGAACTTTTTTTTTAACAGATGTAATCTAGTAGTGTGTATTCAGACTTTTTTTTTTTAATGTCATGTTATAAATGTTTAAGACAGGTTGAGGAATATGCTGTTGGTACAAACACTTCCCCCAAACTCTCATCCCTGGGTCCCAATACTAACAGCCTCATTTTTGTCAAACAGGATTTCTCCTCTCTTCTCCTGCCTTACCTTTGCTCTGTCAATGTAGCAGCTAAACAAATTCTAATGAGAGTCCTTACTAAAGTTAGAGTTGTTTAAAATTGTTTTATGTGTGTTAAATAAAGCCAAATAAATAAACAAAACAAATTTAAAGCCTCAAGTCTCTAAACGAGCAGCTATTGAGTAGAGATCTGACATAATCAGAGCTGTCTAAATTGGTGCTTTTTTCCTTTCTTTCTTCCTTTCTTTCTTTTTTTATTCTTTCTTTTCTCTATTAGATTGTTCTTAAAATGAAAAGAGAAGTGATCAGTCCCTCTTGTTCAGATTATTTTCCTCATTTAATAGCAAATGCCTTCATAAATCAAAGATTTTGTGGTATGTCTATGTTTACAATGGGAACAGGAAAAAAAAAAGACTACACATAAAACTTGTATCCAAATGAGATAGTTTTCTTTTTTTAATTTAATATTTCATTTTCCCCAACCACATGCAAAAATAATTTTCGACATTCATTTTCTATAATTTTTAAGTTCTAAATTCTCTCCCTTCCTCATTCCCCACCCCCTCACCAAGAAGACAAGCAACCTGATATAGGCCACACAGGTGCAGTCATGTGAAACACATCTCTATATCAGCAAATGAGATATTTTTGGGGAAGCACTTTTTTTTTTAGAGGTGACCAAAATCTCCTCCTGGCAAGCTGCAAATCTGCAAGTCAGATCAACTCACAGGGTGGGGAGTGTTGGGGTGTGCGTGTGGTAGCCGGCTTCTCTTTTTGTATATAGGAAAGGTCTAGTCTCTGATGTATTATTGATGTTTCATCATTTCCCCCAACTTGCCAGGATTTTAGGGAGGTGATTGGTGGGGAAGCAAGGTGTTATCTGCTGACTTTTCTCATATAATTATGTTTTGGAATCTTTGAGCCTTGTGATTGGTTGAGAGATAACCAGTAACACAATGAACACACATAAACATTTAGCGAAGAAAACCCATTTATCTAAATCAGTAGCAAAACAGAAGTCAGAGATAGTATCCATAGGAGAATATATACCAGAAAATACAGAATAAGATATTCCTAGATCTCATCTAAGGGGAAACTCCCTGAAGTCTTTAGTGTAGCAAGCTGGGGATAAGGACATAATCGAGACTGCTGGGTCCTTTCATGTCTTCCCAGAGTCTTTTCCTTCAACAACCTCAAGTAGAATTGGCCTCTTCCATCTTCCCTCTTGAAGCAAGAAGCTGGAAGCACCAATTACAGACCCCAAAGTGACTTGAAACTTAAAAAGTCCTGCCTCTTACACAGGGCAGGGTATTTGTCTCCATCAATGAGGACACAGGCCCATACCAATGGGTTTGGGGATTGAGGTTACACTGTGAAACATTCATTTGTAAATTTCCCAGAACCCAAGGACTCATCCCTCTTACAGGTTACAATTAGTTCATAAACAACCTCATGGCAAACAAAAAACACAGATGTGACTGTTCGTTCACGGTTTGAATTGATTTTACCCAACTCTGCTGAGAGAATCTCCAAAATTTAAAGCCTGATATAAGCAGAATAAACAGGTGAAGATCCATACAGGGCTCATTATTTTATATACTGAACTGTCCCGCATCTATAAGGTGGTCAGCCAACAAACTACTAAAATGTATGAATTTTATTAATAACATATGGATTGTCTACCAAGCTATGTCTACTCATTTATATTCACAAAAAACACAAAAAGGGTAGTAGTAAAAATCCTAAATGGTAAATACCCTTATATACAATATGAGAAGGGTCATAGCAGCCATAAACATTATGAAATAAATTAGAACAGTTACAGCATAGCTAGCTGTGCCATAATACCTTAGGGAGATTAATCTGGCTGCAGCATGTATAATGGCTTGGGGGTTGGGTAGAGGGAAGAGATTGGAGATAGGTAGAACAGTAAGGAGGCTGTTGCCTAGTCCTGGTGAGACATGATGAAGGCACAAACTATGATGATAGAAGTGATAGAGGAAAGATCTGAGAGATGTTTGAGAAAGAGAGTTGGTTGGACTTGGCTATAATGAAGAGGGAATGGGGGGGGGAGCTAATGATGATCCTGAAGTTTCATACTTGGGTTACAGAAAGGATTCAGTTTAAATTAGAGGTCTAGGTGATGGTTGGAGGTGTGGAAAGGAATGAGAATGAAAAGAGTCATGGCTCAACTGATTTCAACTCAACAAATAATTATTTAACAAGAGTTTATGGGGAGCCAAGATGGCGGAGTAAGAGGTGAGTCTCTCTTACGCTCCCTTATTAACCCCTGAAAGCCCAGAAAATATCACCCCAAGAAAAACCCTGGAACAGCTGAACCAGAAGAAAACTGGGTTGCAGCAGTCTAGTAGCCCAGGTAGCTTGAGGAATTAACTGGAAAGGCCCCTCTTACCTTGGGGGAAGGGGAGCAGTACAGAACAGGAGGCATCCCAGCAAGCTAGTGGAAAGACCCACCTCAGCATACCAGGAGATCCTGAAGCCCAGGTGGTGGAGCATCAAACACCAACACCTGGCCCCGAGTGCCTCATTGAAGGTAGGGGAACTGGTGGAAACCAGCTCAGAAAACCACCAGGTGCCTCGGCATTCTACAGCAACCGGCTCCCCCAGTGCCTCAGCAAAACTAAGGGAAGCAGCGTTCCAAGGGCCCCCAGCTGGACAAACACTCTACAACATCCATCTGAAAGGAGCTGAAGAAAGCAAAAGGGAGGAAAGGCCTGGGTGAGCAGGATATCTCCAGGAGCCACACTACCCAATCCTACCCCTAGAGTTCCAGTGTTGCTGATTCCAGCCCAACACTAGATAAGCTGCCAGGATCCTACAGCCTCCAACTGCCAATATTGGAGGCCCCAGCACACAAAGCCATCGACCAGGCGCTAGGCTCCCAACACAAGAAGCTTGGGTCAGTGCCCTCTGCTCCCCAGCAAGAGAGCCCAATCTCTTTAAAGGTCAGGAAATAAGCAAACACCACGAGCAAAAGGAAATGTACGATAGATTCTTATTATGGGAAGAGTGAAGATCAAGGCAGAAATTCTGAAGAGGACAACATTGTCAACACCCACATCTGGAACCTCAAAAGGGAATATGAACTGGTCTGAAGTCCAAAAAGCCTTCTTAGAAGAGCTCAAGAAGGATTTTAAAAGTCAAATGAGAGAGGTAGAAGGAAAAATGGGAAAAGAAATGAGAGGTATGCAAGAGAGAGTCAATAGCTTGGAAAAAGAAGGACAAAAGTTAACTGTAGAAAACAAGTCCCTAAAAAATACAATTGGCCAAATGGGGAAGGAGGTACAAAATCTAATAGAAGAAAACAATTTGTTAAAAATTAGAATTGAGCGAATGGAAGCTAATGACTATGAGAGAGCAAGAATCAGCCAAACAAAAACAAAAGAATGAAAAAAAATAGATGAAAACATAAGATACCTCATTGATAAAACAACTGACCTGGAAAATAGATCCAGGAGAGACAATTTAAAAATTATTGATCTACCTGAAAATCATGATGAAAAAAAGAACCTGGACAGTATCTTTCAATAAATCATAAAGGAAAACTGCCCTGAAATCCTAGAATCAGAGGATAAAATAGCCATAGAAATAATCCACCAATCACCTCCTGAAAGAGATTCCAAATTGAAAACGCCAAGGAATATAGTAGCCAAATTCCAAAATTACCAGGTCAAAGAGAAAATACTGCAAGCAGCCACAAAGAAACAATTTAAATATCATGGAACCACAGTCAGGATTACACAGGACTTTGCAGCTTCTACATTAAAAGACCATAGGGCACAGAATATGATATTCCATAAGGCAAAGGAGTTTGGATTACAACCGAGGATCAACTACCCAGCGAAAATGAGTATGATCTTTCAGGGGAGGAGATGGATATTCAACAAAATAGGGGACTTCCATACCTTCCTGATAAAAAGACCAGAGCTCAACAGAAAAATTTGATCTTCAAATACAAGACTCAAGAGAGACATACAAAGGTAAATTGGACAGAAAGACAAAACATGTTATTAATAAGGGCAAACTGTTTACATCCCTACAAGGGAAGATGACACTTGTAACTCTTGAGAACTGTATTGTTATTACACCTTGTTAAAGGGGGTGGGTATAAATTGACTTTGATGTAATTATGAAAAAAATCTAATTAAGTGGGTTAAATGGATCCAAGTAAGTGAATTAATCTGATCTAAGTAAGAAAATGTACTGAGAGAAAAGGAAAGGAGGAGGCAGGCAAGGGTAAATTACATCACAGGAAAAGTCATAAAAACCTCTGCTATAATGAGCAGAGGGAAAGGAGGGAGGGAGATGAGCATTGTTTGAACCTTACTCTCATCAAATTTGGCTCAAGAAGGGAATAACATAATCAGGTATAGAAATCTAACATGCCCTACATGCAGTAGGAGGAGTTGAGGGGGATTAGGGTAGTATATGACCCAGAGGTGAACTGGAGCCAGTTCAAACTGGCTATCCAATTTTCAGTGTGAACATTCAACGGCTCTGAAATCAGGGCTCGATTCACTGTTTTGCTGATTTTTTAGATTTAATGAAGTGATAGACAAAATGCTAATAGTGCAGATTAAACTTGTATGTCTTATTTTTTTCTTGGGAGTGGGGGGGGGAGGGAGAGCCCATTGTTAAACACTCAGTGGCATACCCTTGGATATGATTACCATTTTAAAATAGTTGAAGAATAACTACATGTTAAAAGTCTAGGAATGTTTGATTATTCCAAAGTATAACCGTGTTTCATTCTCCTTGACAAGACATGGGCACTTTATCTTTGATTCTAACACTTTTCTTTCTCCTATATCAAGTCTCCTATTCATTTCTACTTGTCACTGACAAAAACAGCATTCAGGTTACTCATGACCAAAAATGGTGATTGTGAACCCCAAACCCCATGAACCCCAATATGAAACAGAGCCTTCTCTAAGAGACAAATGACATTGGGGTACATGTGCCCAGGGTTAATTTCTCAAAGTGGTTTGACATGCATTGCATGAGTTCAGTCTAAAACTGGGCCCCCCAAGGGGGCCAGTTCAGAACTGGCTCGGTTTAGGATTTTAGGGTATAACGTTATATGCCCTTCAAAGAGTAGGTGTTCCCAAGGGGGTGCCAATCAACCGTGATTGGTCAGCACATACTAGGAGGTGGGTGGGTTCCTTAGATCACTCAGTCCACAGGGGCCAATATTGCCAGCCAAAGGAAATACCACCCTCAATCTTCGAAGTCTATCTCCACCCAAACCTGAGTAGATAAAATCAATTCAGGCTTGGGATGGAGTTTGACCAAGATAAGATTCAGTGCAATCTCATTATCAGAGATGTCCTTCTGAACAACTTTGGACAGAAGGCTGGCAGGTTGGAGTTCTGGGTCCCCAAAACAGATTGCTAAGAGAAATCCTTTTTCAAGAATTGTTCAATGTCCATTGGAGTCTTGATGGGCCTGCTGTGGCCCATTTAAGCACCATAAGGCTAGCTATAAATGTCCTATGGCTGCTTCATCAGCTTTCAATTTAAGCAAAGTTTATTTCCAAGACCTGAATTATGAAACTCTGGCACACATCAGCAGTACTTTCACTAAACCACAATTCTAGGTTTAAACATAGGATAATTTTTTTTTTAGGTTTTAAAAATATTGGGTGGGGCTCAGTAATGGTTGAGTCTAACATAGCTGCAGGTCACCCCCTGCACCCCCTTTGCTCAGATGATCAGGTACCATGTCCTACATAGTTTTCTCTTGGATCTTCCTGTTGCTAGTGCTCTTTCCTCTTGAAACTATTTTGTACATATTTTGTATTAATGTTCCTGTTGTATCCCCTAATAGAATGTAAGCTCCTTAAGGGCAGGAGTTATTTTATCTTTGTATTCCCCGATGTACATAGTAGGTGCATAATAAATGCTTATTGAATTGAATCACATCAATATAGCCTTGAATCCTCTCCTTATCTCCCTTTTCTAAGAAACAGACTTTGTCAGTATCATTCCTGAATGGAACACAATACTAAAGATAATGTCTGATCAGGGCAGAACAGAGTGGGAATATTAATTCCTTCATTCTAGATACTGTATTTCTATTAATGCAACATAAGGTAACATTTGCTTTTTGGCTACCACATCACATAGTTGACCCATCTTGAGCTCATAGTCCACTAAAGCTCATCTTTTTTTTCTTTTTCGTGTTAATTGCTGCCTAGCTATGTCCTGTACTTCTGCAGTTGGTTTTCTGAGCCCAAGCCCAAGACTCTTTTATATTTATCCAAAGAAAATTTTATCACATTAGATTTGGCATATGATTCTAGCCTGTTTCACTTCCCAGGGATTTGGTGAGAATCAAATGAAAAAATGCCTTAAAAACTTTGTTCTAGTAAGTGTCAATTATTATTCCCCAGGTTGCACCTCCAGCCTTTTCCTGTTGCCACCCGTCTACCCAATTTTCCTAAAGCACTGCTTAGGTCAGTTTCACCACTCCAACCCCCTCTTCATTATTCATCTCATCTGGTGGTCCAATTCCTAATCACCTTTCAAAGCTCAAATGTTCCTTCCTCCTCTTAATTCCCATAGTGATTTTTACCACATAATAGGCATTGATGAAATATTCTTCCGCATTAGTTGGCACTTGGATTTCCTTCTAATTCTTAAATTCTGTGATTTGGGTCATCTCCTCCACTAGACTTGATTGTAAGTTCTCTGAGTGGGGAGTTCATATCCTGCTCTTACATTTCCTACAGCACCCAGCCCAATTCCTGTAGGCACCTGAATAAATGATTACCGAATGAAAAGAAAATTCATGCTGTCATGTAAAAACACAGTATCAGATTTATCAGTGTTATGCATATAGGAATCAACATCCAGATCTCATGAACTTTTTGGTATAATCTATTAGTTCTTGAGAAGCATGAATGAAAAGATTTTATTAGAAACTTAAAACACATTCCCAGGCATAGCACCAATGCCTACACAGGAAATACACATAACATTATTTATGATTTCATCTTTATTTGAAAAACAATACCATTCAAAATGTAAAAATAGATCCATTTTCAAAGAACCATTTAAATATGGCTTTGAAAATTGCAAGTTTATTTACAAGAAACAGATGGTAGTGCAATAGCAGTCATAGGTATTTATGATAGAATATAATTACTATTTCAACATTTTAGGGAGAAGGGAAAGGGGAACATCTTTTTTATTTAAGCCTCTCCTGCAATGCCTCATAAAAATAAAATCAACAATAATGAGCATAGGTACAGTTTGTTCCTAAAACACAAATATGACCAACCAGTGGCATCCTGACAAGTTACAAGTGGGAAGATTGTTTCCCAGTTTACATATAATCAACCTGCCACGTTAACACAACCCTAACACTTCTGAACCTGCAAAGGGACTCTAAGTATCTCTATTAAATGGTACGTATATGTTAAATGAAGACTGAGACACTCTTAACCTTGGACCACAATGAGGTTTGCAAAATCAAAAATATATTCAATGCCAGTTTTCAGAAAACTTGAATCTGTAATTAAACTTTAAATTAGGAGGGAAAATTGTTAGTACAATAAATACAGATTCCACTCACTCCTTAATCCTGAGAGAGATATGGAATCTCACCAGGGTGCAAACTGACCTAAGACCAAAGTATATTACGAGTGAATGCTTGCTTCACTGTCCACTGATTCTGATATACTCTGAATTTGGGTACTTTTTTCAGCAAACCTTCTGAAGTTTGAAATCAATCCTTTAAAGTGAACTATTACATATATGCCACCAATGCATCCTTGCAAGGAGGAAAACTTCTTACTATTTGCACAAAAGCAGATTTTAAAAACCAATCCACACAGTTCAGTTTAGCAATAAAGGCAAATACATCTAATCCACTAGACAAATGTTGCAAAATCAGCTTCTATTTGAACAATGAAATGCACAAACTCACTGAGCTAAATGCTTCATGTCAGTTTTAATATTGTTTTGATGGCAGCTATTCTAGGCAAAGGCAGCCAAGTCACATAGATAAATGGGAGCAAAAGCAGAAAACTTGTGAGGATTTATCAGTTCTTTGAATTCTTTCAACAGTTTGAGGTTGATTTGAATTGTGAATAATGTTGCTGCGCACTATTTCTTCTACGTTTTGTATTTCAAGCACTAAGGAGTATGCTGCTGCTGTAGCAGATATTTTTGTGCTATCTTCTTTAAACTTGCTCCTCTTCTCCTCTAAGACCAAGTAAAAAATGGAAGACATTTTCATAAACTAGAAAGGTAATACAACAGGCTGGAGTCACTCTAATCAAATTAGGGACAATTCCTTTGTAAAATCCAAGGATGCCTTCTTTCCTATAGAAAAGAAAAAAATTTGTTTGTACACATTTGTATACAACTGTTTATATACATTTAGTTATGGCTTACAATCCTTTTCTGACCTGATTAAAATAAAGGACAGGCAAAGAGGCCATAAAGACTCAAAAGCAATCTTTTTCAGGGACTGCAAAGAATCACTTTTAAAATGATTTTATTTTAAAATGTGGCTGCTAAAAAATTTTCCCCTTAATATTAAATTGTGTAAGCCTACAGAAATGCTATATACCAATTATCACGCTCACCCACAATTTAATTTTGTTGACACATAGTTTATGTGATATCGGTACAAAGTTCAGAAACTAGGCACAGGGTAGGCTCTTCATAAACGCTTGTTAAAGAGAACTAAAGAGACAGTGTGCGGGAAGAAGAGGTCAAATCCTGGATCATGCCATCACCCTTGATCACGCTTCAGACTGTTACCTATTACTCCGCCTCTTTTCCTCACTGGATCCTAAACTAGGACCCCTGCTCCACCTTCACTTCCCTCCCTTCCCAATCTCAACCCTTGAGACAACCAGTTCAACACTAACCTTTCCTGTACTGTCCTGACTCTTTCCTAACACTAACTCTGCATTAACCCCACCATCTACCTTTTCTGCTTTTACTCACATGTTGCTGAACAGAGTCCAATAAAGTCAGGCAGCGTGCTGCATATGTGTCCACTGAAAGTTTATGTCAGCTGACCTGAACCGGGACCTTCCTGCAGCAAGGCCATCCTTTTGTTCCTTCCTAATTATCTATCCCATTCCCTGCAACAGCTATTCCTCCTACTTGATCTCTCCTGCAGCTTTGGAACTGAGGACCTTGCCTCATTACAAAAAATGATGGTCATTCTGAGCTCTTCAGATGTCCCCCACCCCACCCCCCAACCTCCTGCCATTATCTTGCACCTTTTTTTTTTTAAATCTTGCTGTATATGTACATGTTTGTCTCTCCCTGCTGTACTATAAACTCTTTATGGGCAGGGGCTATTTCATTCTTGTTTTTGCATTCACAGTGCCTAGCACACAGGAGGTACTTTAAAGTTTCTTAAAATTGATTGAACAATGCAATGCTGGACTTGGGAAGACATGGGTTCAAATCCTGTCCAGTACTTACTATCTGTGTGACTAGGGGCAAGAGTTAACCTATCTGTGCCTGAGGCAACTCTAAGATTAGCGGTGACTATAGATATTGCCTTGGAAAAACCAAAAATTAATGTTATCAATGTTCTACTGCATTTTTATTTGTTTTGTTAAATATTAAATGATGTAGTAAGACACCTCTGTCTTAACAGATTATCGCCTAAGTTACAAATGGGTTGTGATCAATCTTTCATGGAAGAAATCTGCCCACTCACAAAGTCATAAATCCTTGAGGTATTGAATTGAAGTAAACATATCATACATTAACATTCAGCTCTGGAAAAGGTCTAAAACAAAAGAGAAATGTGGAGATCTCTACCACTTCCAATTCAGATATATGTGCACAGAATAACAACATATGTGTGGCATTAAGTTCCCAGCAGAAAACAAGTATTACACTGAGATAACGTATCTACAAAGAGTCAATCATGGAGTTGGGGCTTTCTCAGAATGTTTTAGAGGAAAGATTCTTCACAGGCTGATCACTGCTACAGCATTATAATCAATTAGACTATATGAGGCATTTGGCTGCTGCTACCTTACCTCCATGTCCTCTTCATTACATCAAGTACACCTCTGTAAAACATGTGTTGATCTTGAAGTCGGGCTCTCACTACTTGATATGGGTACGTTGCTGCCACAGCAAATATTTTCGACATAGCTGCAACTGATATGTATTCTATTGTACTCTAAAATAATAACACAAGATAGTTATGTCTTTTCTATATATTTCTTGAATTGCACAGATTTCCTGCCTTGAGCTTAAAAGGTCTACTTTTAAGGCCTCTTAAATGATGTAGTAAAGCTAAGCTAAAACAAAGCAACAAGTACTCAAAATGTGCTTAACTGTGAACTTTAAAATTTCTTAAATATATCTTTGTCCTCTATTTTAAAAGATTTCCAAATGCTTTCCAATTAGAACATAATTTGTGGCATATTGTAAATGACAAACTGGCAAAAGATAAGGAAAAAAAAATCAATTTTAAGTATTGAAAATTGACACCAGAAGGTTAGTATGACTTAAATTTCTAGCATATTTGATGATTATCTTGACAAAGCCAATTGCAATTCACACATTTTCTATAAAAGTAAATTAGGCTATCTTTTCAAGAATTTCTTACCAACTGTGCATCTGGTAATCTATTGATGTGTGTATTGTACTTCAATTTCATCAATTCATATGCCATGAACTGAAGTGCTCCATGTGATGTTCCAAACAGCCCAGGCACAAATCCCTGGAAGATAACCATCTTTTTTTAAGAAAAGCTATAATATCTAATTTGAAATAGTAAATAATTTTCTACCTCTTCTTAATATTAGTGTTTCATTTAATACGTACTTAAACACTGCAAAACCTTAAAGAATCATCATTCTAGAGCTAGAAAATATGTTAAAGGCCACCTGGTCCTACCCCCTCATTTTACAGATGAGGACTCTGAAGCCCAGGGATGACAAGGAAAGGTCACATTGGCAAGAGCAATGGATGGGATTTGAACCCAGGTTCTCTGATTCAAAAATCAGGGCACATTACACTGTACTGTGTTACCACTTTATGACTTTAGGTGATAAGCCATTCTAAACTTAGCTGGGTGTGTCCTTAGGCGGCAAAAAACCAGGCCCAGATCTGTACTTAAAAGTCTAATATTTCAATGAATCTGCCTTTTCATCGAAGTGGGACAGCACCTTTCCATGGTGCAGAATACAAACTACCCATGCCTTCTGATGCTATATATTCCTGACATCATGTGGATACCTGGGAAGAACGCACATTGTCTATTATCTCTTATTCTCAGTGTGAATAACTGGTCCACTTTTCCTATATATGTTAACGTTTTATGAATTTTTTTTTGCATCGAGCATTTCCAAATATTCTTTTACCATCACACCTCTCACCCACCTTTGAAAAAATAAACAAAGCAAAATTAATTAATACAGTAAATGCCTCTGAAAGCAAATGAAATGTTCAGCACCTCTAGTCCCCCACCCCTCTACTGAGAAGAGATGAAGTTCTTGCCACGAGTCTTCCGGAACCAAAACTTCTTTTTGTCTTTGAATTTAGCTGCCATATAATGTTTCTTTCAGTTACATTACTGTAATCAACGTTCATATTATTCTCACTGTTCTGGTTTGCTCTGCACAAATTCATACAAGTCTTTTCATACTTCTCTCAATGTTTCATATTTGCTTTTTAAGATACAATAACATTTCATCATATTTATGGAAATCACAACTGTTTAAGCCATTCCCCAACTCATATATACCTACTTTCCGTTCTTCCCCTCTAATAAATAGGGTTACCACTAATATTCAGGTATATATACGGCCTTTCTGCCTTTGACCCACTTGGGGTACATTAAGCAGTAGTAAGATTGCTAGGTCAAAGATTATAAACAGCTAATAAAACTTTACTTGAATTTCAAATTCTGATCCAAAAAAGTTAGTCCAATTCACAGCCCTATCAGTCATTCATCTTTGGTATTATCATTTATGCCCTTTCTTGTGTACAATTCTTCATTAATAATATCCTGAAGTCTACTCTCACCTATTATACATTTCTCCATTGCTTTGAGTCAATCTACAATTAAAATTCTTTAGAAATTGTAGTGTAACAGGATGCAGCCATATAATATCACTACAAAAATATCATGTTAGAAGTTGGAGCTTTGTTCCAAGAAAAACCTTTGAGTCATTAAAAAATACTAAAAAATTTCCAAATGCAATTTGGCCCTCCTATTGAATTTTAGGCACAGACCAACCTGTTCTGTTTGTCCAAGAAGTATATATGTATATGTACGTGTGAATATATATGTATATATACACACATATACATACATGTCCATGTGTATGTATGTGGGTATGTTTTTTTTTTTTTGACAGACCAACTCTGTCCATCCAAATACATATGTCTAGAGGTTTTCCTGACTTCAAACCCAGCTCTCACTCAACTAAACCAATAGTATATTGGCTTAAAAAAAAAAAGATTTCTCATGCTTAGGAACATGCTATTGAAAGGAATTAGAGAATCTTAACCTTAGAAAGGACTTTAGAGGCCATTTAGTCCAACTCATACTTAATTTTATTTAAAAATTATTTCCTTGAAACTAAAACTCACTTATTTCACACCAATATTCTTCTAGTACATTAATTAAGCACTACTATTTGTCAGAGAAGAGACACAGTGTTGTGGACAGAAAACTGGACTTAAAGCCAAAAGATCTAGGTTCAAATTCTGACTCTGATGTATACTGGCTATGTTATCCCAGCCAAGTCACTCAATTTCCTCAATGTTCTAGGCAATTTTCTAAGATTAAGAATGTTCCAACTTGTATTGGTAGAGGGAATTTCCTTATGGGAATTCATTAGACCAATGAAGTCACAGGTCTAATCTCTATCCTTATTTTTCCAGTGAAGCTATATGGCTACAAATCATGGAATACTATAATATCTGATGAATCAAAATTGTAGGTCATCTAGAGTGGGTACAAATAGGCTGAAGCATATTAACAACAATTAATTGCACGTAAGAAACAGTGCACAAGATCATCTAATTCCTGACTGGAAAAGAAAGTAGGTCAGTCATTTTGAGAGGGGGATAACACAATGACCACAAGCATGCTGCAGCAGATGGAGTATTTTTTTTGGCCTGGACATTACTGTGTTGGGCCTTGCTGAGGTGGCCTACACCTACCTCTAGGAATCTGTCTCTGACCCATCATAAGATTCCCTCAGTGAACTTGCCCCATTCCCACTTGTGGCTGTTTTCTGTGGCAATGTTGATGAACACATAAATAATGTTAAGAGATCTACAGGAAGGCTACAACATGACAGGCAGATTCTCCTCATGAAGAATATATGGGAGGACATGGATAAGAATCATATAAAATAATAAGGCATGGATGAGTTTTGTTCGAGCTACACTGTTGACGAATACACAATAATGAGATGGAATCATAGGTCTAATATGCACCTTATGTTGTTTTCTGGGGTGAAGAGAACGGGTAGAGTAAAGTTGACAAACTACAGAGATGTTTACATTTTAAAACACAATAAATTTTATTTAAAGATGGAAACACCATTCTTAGCTGGAGCTGTATAAAAGCAGGCAGCAGGCCAAATTTGGGCAGCAAGCTGACAATGCCTGAAGTACAGAAAAGGAAGATAGGAAAGGAATATAAAGAATTAAAGACCCCACTCAATTTCTTTTTTTTTTTGTGCTTTTTGGTGAGGCAATTGGGGCTAAGTGATTTGCCCAGGGTCACACAGCTAGTAAGTGTCATGTGTCTGAGGCTGCATTTGAACTCAGGTCCTCCTGACTCCAAGGCCAGTGCTTCTATCCACTGTGCCATCTAGCTGCCCCCCCCCAATCAATTTCTTGCACAAGGTAAGCAACCAATACCCTCCTAGAGCTGACATATATGGGCCTCAGAGGTCTAGTACAAACTCTTCAATTTATAGATGAGAAAACTGAAGCCCAAAATGTGAAGTATCCTTTCCAAGGTTACACAGTAATAATAATAATGATACCTATAATGCAGCATTTTAATGCTGTATACTTTTTCATCCACAACTATAAAGGAGTCTTTGTAATTATTTCTGAGCTTATCTGTAGACACCTGGGAATAAATTTTGCTTATCTTGTCCACAGCCTTAAAGAGACTAAAGGTCTAACTAAATATAGGTTAGTTAAAATACGAATTGTAATTAACAGAAAACACAGGCCTTAGTGTCTGTACTGAATTTGAAGCTGACATTTGTTGCCATCATGCGCATTACTTATCTGACACTGCTAATTCTCCTTTTAAAAATTTATTTACAATTGTAAACTGTAAAAAATCTAAAAGATCCTTGCTTCTCTTATAACTTGATCTGTAAAGCACGTAAAATATTCTTCTAACCATTGTTAAAATTGTTTAAAAGAATTGTTTAAATTGTTTAAAGCTTAAGCATTAAATGCATGCCAAATGACCCACAAATCAAAATAAGATGCCTACAAGATTGTGAACAAATTTACCCCTCTCCCATCCATGTCACAATGATGCATCATATGGCAGTAACTATAAATCCTAAAGAGATACAATACCCATACTGTGGGTTATTAAAATTTTTTTAATTAAAGTTTTCATTAAAATTATTACTTGCTCATAGGCTCATTTCTTTTTAGAACTCAGTAGTGGAATCTTTCAGAATGAGAACCTAAAAGGTGAATGAAAATTTATGTGGCAATTAACTATGTAAATAACAGATACAATTATCTATCATAATTATTTAAAACAACCAAATAAAAAGTACCTTGTACAATCCACGTACACCTTCAAATTTATATATCTTTACAAGTGCATCCATCATTCCTTTGTACTGCCTCTGTGAAGCACTGACAACATCATACTGTAACATAAGTCGAGTCTTTGTTACCCATAATGGGTTTGTAATACAGAGCGTCATAGCCCCTAAAATAGAGAAGTTTAATTACATATGTACTTCTTGACTAATGAATGTTACAAATACTTAAAAGTATTGTTGGGAGACAAAGATGAACTCTCCTTAGAAACCAGGAGGTAAAGAAGTCATCTAAATCACTGTGCTCTCATCTTATGGTAGACCCAGTGGCCTTAGCCGCAGAAGGAATAGGAGAGAAGCGGCATTTTGGGGAGATGGCAAGATTTTATTGTGGACGGTGGGGCCTGTTGGTTACAGCACTCTTTGGAGTGAGGCTAAAAGGGGATCATAACTCACTCCTTGGGTACATTTTCAAGAGCTTGACTTGGGAGTGGGAATCTGGGTGTCCCAAAGTAGGTAAATAGTGAAGTTGGTTTCTTCACTGCTCTCTGCTTCCCATTGGTTCCTAGGACTTACTCTCCCAATTCCTTTCATCCTCTTGTTCAGATGCTTTGATGGGGGGAGGGGCTCGAGGGAGAGGAGGAGGGAAGAGGGAAAGGGGAGAGGGAGAGAAGGGGGAGAGTTATATTTGCTGGGTTTCTATATTGCCTTTTCTGTTGTGAAGACTGGAACACTTTTCTGAGAGGAATATCTTAAATGATTAGGTTGCTATACTACCCATCAGAAAAGCTATCTAATTAAAAAAAAATACAATAGTAATGCTCACTAGGGGTAAAATAGGCTTTTGTGGTCTAGCATGGGAACTTAATTTCCATATATCACATTGTTTCTATGGAAAATATATAGGAAAAATATGAGAAATATCTTTTGAATTCTAAAGAAGTGACTTATAAATTAACTTTGGAACATAACCCATTTGTAATTTGGGGATCATCTGAATATATGATTTTATAAATTCATACTCAGAGCACTTTGCTCTTTAACTCAGTCATTTCAGCATACTATGAATCATCTCCGCTATAAAAAGAATAAATGACTTATTCCAAGTTGTAATGTATTAGGCATTGTACAGAGCAAAGCAAACATAGGTCGAGAAAGCAAACTATTTATACCAACATAAACCCATGCTCTTCTCCTGTACTTCAATACCTCAGTAAACAAAATCAAGCTCTCAATCATAATTCCACAAAAATGAGATAAACAGAAAGTAACAAATTATCATGAAATTTTAATGATTTTACAAATATGCAAAACAATAACAATAATTTTATCATTTCTTTAATACTGCATAATTTCTGGGTTTTCTACGTAGTTAATTAACATATATTAAACCTATAGTATGTTAAGAACTGAACCAGATGCTAGATGGGAATAAGTCCGCACTTTATATTTTTGCTCTACAAAATACACATGCCAGTCTATTAAACAATGTCCTAAATTAAATAATTCGGAAACGAAAACACTAATTTTTTTCTTTCTGCAGACTATATAATTTGTTTCCTACTACCAATGGATCTACAACTTTGCTTAGATATTGAAAATAAATTATTTCTAATCTAAACAGAGTAAAAACTCATCCCAAGAATTCCATATAATATCCAGTTTCAGCCAATTAATACAGTTGAATGGAAAATAGTCACTATAAAGAAGGTATGCTAAAACAACATGGCAGTTTTTATACATTGATGTGGCAGGATTTTTATGGATTATTCACTTTCTTACCAGCTTCAGCAGCTGAAACAAGGTATTCTGTTGCCTCGAGCCGTTCTGCTCTCCCCTCTGTCTTATACGATTTAATGGCATTGTAGCTAAAAGAATTAAACAAAAAATTTCAAAGATGAGGAAAGACAAATGGCACATTAGTGTTTTGAGGTATTTGAAAATATGCTGCTTAAATCAATTATAATATTTAAAGCTGAACTATAATATAAACAAAAAATACTGGGCTTTAGCAGGAGATTTCTCCAAAGCACGGCACCTAAGAAGCAGCACCATGAAAGCAAAAAGCAGTTCTGAAATATAATTTCATTCTGTATTTAGTAATATCAATACTTCCTTCATGGTGGGGGGATGGACTAGATTTTATTTAAACACATATTTGATCAATGATCTCATGACATAAAAAAAGAGACAAAAACAAGAGTATTTTTAAAAGGAGAAACATTCATTCAACAAACAAATTCAAATGTTTATTGAGCACCTATTACATGCAAGGCACTGTGACAAAGGATGTGAGGGATAAATACAAAGTTTAAATAAGTTCATGTTCTTGATCCTAAGGGATTAACCTAAAACCAGAGATAAATTCCTTAACAATTAAAACTATCAGAAAATGAAATGGGCTGCCTCAAAAGGTTCTAGGTTCCTTCTTAATTCAGATTTTTGGATGGCTTTGTCAGGTATGTTGAAGTGGGTAATCTTTTGTAGTAAGATGGACTGAATAGCTGCAGAGATGGCTTTTAATTCTCAAATTTTGTAATTCTGGGAATGGAAAGGAAAGGAAAGGATGATAAAACAAGAGATACTGCAACAAAGAACCAAAAACCCTGGGAACCAATTGCTTACATAGTAACTCATCACTCCACTGTACTACAAGGTTTACAAAGCACATTCCTCACAACAACCCTGTTAAACATTATCACTCCCATTTTATAGATGAAGAAAGTGACTTGCTCAGTTATATTCTTAAGCTTTTCCTACTCCCAACCCCTTCTGCACTTCTTAAACTGCTTAAACTTAAAGGTTTTCAGTCTGAATGACTTGGATAATTGTGTTGACATTAACAGAAATTAGGTGAACAAGAGGAGCTGCTTAGAGGAGGGGTCAAGGAAAGCCTAAATAGCTACTGTGGAGAATGTGACAAGCAGTCATAAAAAGATTAATAATTAAAAAAAAATTGCAGAGTAGCAGTCAAGGCCCAGATTGGGTTAGAGAGTGTAATTCTGTAATGGAGCTAGTTGCATATTTTAATGACTTTCTCCAATAACTTTGGGTAATTCTGTAGTGAAAGCAGACAAAGCAGATATGAATGACTCCGGTTTTGCAACTGGCTTAATAGGAAACTTAAAGGATTAAGTTAAGGGATTTAAAGTTTCTAATAAAGCCCCATAGTGAGCAGGCTGACATGGCTAATCATGGGTCTACAATGGAAGCAATGAAATCAGATGGAAACTGAGGGACTTTTAATCATTCACCTCTCAGAAACTTCATTTCCTCATGTGTAAAAATGAAGAGGCTGAACTAGATTATCTTGAGGTACATTCTAGCTTTAAAATTCTATGATTCCATAATTACAAGAATAGAGACCAGAGGTCGTGATTAAGACAGAAAATAATTTCAAAAGATATGAAGGAATGAGGGGGCAGCTAGGTGGTGCAGTGGTAGAGCACCAAACCTGAAGTCAGGAGGACCTGAGTTCAAATCCGGTCTCAGACTGAACACTTGACACTTACTAGCTATGTGACCCTGGGCAAGTCACTTAACCCCAATTGCCTAAAACATATATATATATATATGATATGAAGGAATGAGAGTAGTCAAGGACAAGGAATTCAAGAATCTGAGAAGCTGGAAGTGGAGTCATTCTGGAAGTAACCATGGGCAGCTTACTGCTGAGGAAGTTGAGGTACTGTAAGCCCAATGTGTCAGATGTGTAAACAGTGCTAATAGTGGAAAATGATGTCATGAAATTTAAAATGTCAGTACTGAAGTCATTAAGAATTATCTAGAAATCAGTAGTGCCACCAAGAAGGATGTGGAGATAGTAGATATTCATGTTCTAGACTCAAAACGTCAGTCAATAAACATTTATTAAATACTAGCTATGTGTCAGACACTGTGCTAAGTGCTGAGAATACAAAAAGAGGTAAAAGAAATGCCTTCAAGGAGCTCACAATCTAATGGAGGGGGGGAGGAGAAGCAAACAAATATGTACAGATAAGCTATAAAAATATAAAATAAAATTTAAAAATAGGAAATAATTAACAGAGGGCAGGGACCAAAAAAATTAAGAGGAATTGGGAAATGCTTTATGTAGAAGCTGAGATATTAGTTGAGACTTAAAAGGAAGCCATAAGGCAGAGATGAGGAGGGAAAGAATTCTAGGCATAGGGGACAGCAAGAGAAAATGCCTGGAGTCAAGAGATGGAGTGTCAAAATGACTAATATGGAAATGCTTTACATGATTACACAATGTATAAGACATATCAGATTCTTATATCCTTAGGGATGGGAGAAGGGAGGTACAGAGGGATAGAATATGGACCTCAAAACTTAAAAAAAAAAACTCCAACAAATGTTAAAAATTGTTTTTACATGTAATGGGGAAAAATGAAATATTATTTAAATAAAAAGAGATGAGGTACCTTTTTGTTCAACAGCAAGGAGGCCAATGTCACTGGATTGAAGAATATATGGCAGGGAGTGAGGTGTAAGACTGGAAAGATATGTGTAAGGGCAGGAGGGAGTCTGGTTCTGAAGGGCTTTTAATACCAAACAGGATTTTGTATTTGATGCTGGAGGTGAAAGGGAGCCAGTGGGGTTTACTGAATAGGAGTTGACATAGCTGGGCATTCACTTTAGAAAAATCACTTTGGTGGCTGAATGAGGGATGGATTGGAGTGGGAAGAGAGTTGAGGCAGGCAGACCCGCTAGCATGGTATTGCAATAGTCCAGGCATCAGGTGATGAAGGCCTGTACCAGAGTGATGGTGGTATCTGAGGACAAAAGGGGGCATATTTAAGAGATGTTGCAAAGTTGAAATCAACAGGCCTTGGCAACAGACTGGCTATAAAGGGTGAGAGAGAGTAACAAGTTGAGGATGACAGCTAGGTTGTGAATCTGAGGAGCTGGGAGGCTGGTGTAATACTCTACAGTAATAGCAAAGGGAAGCAGGGGGCAGGCAGGGAGGAGGAGTGTAGCTAGTGATGGTGGTGACATAATGGTCTAGAACAGGAGTTCTTAACTGGGAGGGTCTATGAATTTGTTTTTAATAACTATTTCACTATAATTGGTTTCCTTTGTAGTCCTATGTGTTTTATTCCATAGAAGTCTATGACACAAAAAGGTTACGAACCTCTAGTTTAGAAAGAGTCCTGTGATTGGAGTCAGAAAAACCTAAATTCAAATCCAACCCAGACACTTACTTGCTTTGTGATCTGGGCAAATCACTTTGTTTTGTCACAGTTTCCACAACCAGAAAATGTGGATAATAGCACTTACATCCCAGGGTTGTTGTGAGGATCAAAGGAGATCATATTTGCAAAAGGACTTAGTATAGTGCCTGGAACATAGCAGGTTCTATATAAATGCTTGTTCCCTTCCCTGATGAAAATAAAGAGACCTTCTATTTGGTAATCTTTGTGAAAAATTAATTCTATTATTGAAATGTCTTTTCTCATAACAAGACACCTTAGAGGTCATCTAGTCCAACCATTTCATTTTATAGATGAGGAATCTGAGGCCCAGGGAGGGAAAGTGATTCATCCAAAGATAGATGAAACAGATCAGAGACTAGGACCAAGTTTCCCAACTCAAGTCTAGTGCACTGTTACAAGAAAGAAAAAATAACAAATCTGAGAAATACCTTTTTTTTTAAATTTTAACGATACTAATCCGAAAGCCATTTGGCTAACAATGTCAACTATCTGAAACACAGTCAAGAAAGTAAGCAAAAAAGAGGGCAGAAATTATATGAACTTTACTCAATGGAGAGTCCCTCAGGAATTCACTTATAATTTACACATATTTTATTTATAACTCTAAGAAGCCTGGTCATCAATTAGAAAGGGAGAGAGAGGCGACATTAAGAAGCAATAGATGACAGTAAGAGAACAGACCAAAAAATTTACAGACAGAAACAAACCAAAAACAGGAGGGGAAAGCATAGCAATCTGGGATGATGAACAAGTGGACAGAGTCCCACTCCACTCACCTCAACATGAGGACACCATTGTATTACAGCCCAACAGCCAGTGACTCTGAGTCATTGGGAAAAGTAATTTAACTAAACATGGTAACCTTAAGAAGTCCAGGAAGAATGCAAAGGAGGAAGGTGTAGAGGTAACATAGAACTCTTACTCTATCCAGTCTGTGCTGCAGAAAACTAATAAGATTTTGTTGGGAGACTTAAAAGATTTTGTTGAGAGACTTAAAAAGGGGAAGGAATATCCATCATTTTCCCCTCAGATGAAGGTCTCTGTACCACTGACAATGACCAAGGCAATACTACTGCTTTGTAATTGAGGGCAAAATACCAAATAGGAAAAGATTACCATCACCTAACAAACACTCCACAGAGGTTTTTAAAAAGATAACAAATAGGAAAATAAATCTAATTTAAAAGAATTTCTTGACTAATAAGAGAAATATGGAACTGCAGACAACAGACAAAAATGGAAAATATCTGTAAAGATGTTATTACAAACTTGTTTCACCATCAAAATTAGTGGAGCCACCCACTTAAGCACTTTAACATCTTATGCTGATGTACTACATGAGGAAATGGAAATGGCACTGAAGAGAACAGTTGGATCAGACCAAGTATACATAAACAAGGTCTGACTAGCAAGTGACACTATTTTTAGGATGTTGAGGAATTCTCAAGAACTGTACCCTCAAGGGAACAGTACAAAAGGTATGGACCCTATTACATAATTACTATTAAGCCATATGCCTGTTTTTCTCTCTCTACAAAATCATTTTTTGTTTTATTGATGTCTTTAGTTATTACATTACATTTTTTCCAAACACATAACTTCCCCCTTCCCTCTCTAGCAAGCCTTGTCCTTACAAGAAAGATTTCAAAAGAAAAAGAAAAAGCAGTTCAACAAAAACAACTATCTTGTCAATTGAGTCTGACAGGTATTCCACATCCATAGTCCCTCACTTCTCCAATGAGAAAAGTATTATTTTCTCAACTCCTCTCCCTTGCCAAATGGAATCATAATCACATAGCATTCCATTTTGTTTTGTTTTGTTTTGTTTTTCCATTTAAATTGCTGTAGTCATGTATACTAATTCCTGGTATAAGCTTACTTCATTCTGCATCAATCCATATAAAATTGTCCCATGTTTTTCTGAATTCCTCACTTTGTTCCTAGAGAATGTAAGCTCCTTAAAGGCAGACACTGTATCATTTTTGTCTTTGTTGCTCTAGCATCTGACCCCTAGTATGTATTTAAAATTCTTGATGGATTCATTAATGTGCAATGATATTCTACTGCTTTTCTGTATTACAATTTATTTAGCCATTACCTAATTGTTTAGCACCCACTTTGTTTCCAGTCATTTGCTGTTACGAATATTTTGGTGCATACAGGTTCTTTCTCTGTCTTTGACCTCCCTAAGATATATGTCCAACATTGAAATATTTGAGTCAAAGAATAACAGACCAATTTACAGTTCCACCAACTGCCTGGATACATATAATTCCATCATTTTTACTATTTGCTACATTTAATATTTCCATCTTTTGTCATCTTTGTCAATTTGCAGGGTGAAAGACAAAATACCTCAGAATTGCTTTAACTTACATGTTTATTAATGTCTATCAAAGTTTTATAAGAGTACATTTGTGATGAAGTTACGAGAAGGAAAAAGCCGCCTTCTGCAAAAAAATGTTTTACAGCAGATCCCATGTTCACAATCACATAAGAGACTGAAAGATAAAGAAAACAAGTTCTCACTTGTTTGCTGATTATAAAAAAAGCATTTGCTTTAAAGGCCCTACTCCAAAAGTGCTTCCCATGCAGATGCTGAAACCATATAAGATACCCTGAAAAAATATAACACAAATTTTACTTTGTTCAAATATTGTCGCATAAACCAAGAAGCCGCATGGTTTGCCAAAGGTGTTTACTACTGTCATAGAGTGTGCATAGGGAAGGATTTCTGAGGTGTTCTAAAAGCTCCTGTTTGCAACTGTCATTTTTGCTGGTTGTATCAAGCCCCAAAACAACACAGAACCTTCTAAATAAGATGTATAAGAACTCCATAGTTCTGCCTAACTATCCACCCTGGGGGAAAACAAACACATAACAGATGAAGACTGCCTGTTGTCTAGATTATAACATAGAACTGAATGATAACCATATTCATTCATCAGTAAACATACTTTGGACAAATCCTACAGATGGACAAATAATGTACTTTTCAGAAATTATTTTATTTACTTAGCATCATTCTTTTAATAAGTGTAAGCTTCTCCTTAAACCAAAGGCTGTATTTTAAAATACCAAAATGCTACTGATGACGCTGTATGGCTGTGAGTCATAAAATACAATGCTTTTCACACAGCTGGTGTTCAATAAATGCTTGTTGACTAATTGGTTGAATACTGCAGTCCTTAAAGAATTGAACTTGAGGATCACCCAAAGAGCAATGGAGAACATATATGGTGGTTATGAGAAGATTGGAACACATTACAAATAAGGAATGGGCAAAGCAGTATAAAATGTGTCACAGAAATACGTAACTGGGTAAAAAGATGGACTAGTCCAATAGTGAGAATGAGGGACAACTGATATGCTTCATTAGTATTCATACAATGTCAAAAGACCTAGAAGAAAGTGTCTAGCAGAGTAGGTCCCCTCCCTCCAAGGCAGATTTACAGGAATCAGAGAAGAATCACATAGCATGCATGGATGGTTTGAAATCGACATCAACTCAGGCTCTCTTCCCATAACATATGGTTAGGTGACAAAGTTGTGCTATTGTGTTCCTATGTGTTTATGGTAGAGAATGTTGAAAAGGTATTTATATATATGGTAAAGAACAGTAGATTTGGAGAACTGGGTTTAATAGAATTCTGCTCCATTATAACCCCAATCAAGTTGCTTAAGTTCTCTGGTCTCAGTTACATCTATCAAATGAACCAACTAGATTAGATAGATGATTTCTAAGGTCCCTTCTGACTCATGAACAGCATGAGAATATGACAATGTTACAGTCATACGTGTTTTGTTCTCTCTGTGTCCAAAAGAATTACAGCTATTTCCACATGGTAGAGACAGAACAGGTTTTGAAGTAGACCAAAAAGAACTAAGGAGAAGTGAAGTTGGTCAAATGTTAGAAAGCAAGGAAGATGCTGTGGTCCTCTTGAGGCATCATCATTTCTGTCTTCTCAGCCACCCAAGCTCTCTATCTTTCACCCACAGTTCTCATATAGTATTGTTGTATGTTTTTTAAGGTTATGCGAGAGCCAATATTCACCTCTGACCTCTCCACCCTTCCAGGTTCACAATATGGAATTTTGTATTCGTGGAGAACTTCACAACCAACACTTCCTCCCCAATAAATGACTGATAATCATGGACACTACATGTGACTATAATCCACAGACAATAAAAACATTTTCATTTTAAATGTGAGATTCAAGTTCCATACCTTCCCAGAAATGGTTAACCAAAACCGTTACATAATGGCAAAATCAAGGTAAGTCATATTCACTTCTTTGCCCTGTACATAAATACCCAGTGTCAGAAGTAAATATGAACCATGAAAGAGCAACATGTGGACATTACAAGAAAAGATTACTTCTACTGGGGACTGGACAAGTAGTTTTTTATAAGGGAAAATTGAGTAGTAAACCTACATTAAAAGAGCTTTCTCTTAAATGGAAAGTTCTCTTCTACTATAGATATATAGAGATCACGAAGGCTGTTACATAGCACCTTTCCAAGTCCTTTACACAAATCTCAACAAGTTGGTGAGGCTGATAAAAGGAAGCGTAAATATTAATTTAAAAAATCCATGCGCTCTCATAGGATATCATAAAATCTTTATTGATATACTTACAAGAAAAAGTAGAGTCCCCAAGATAAACCTGCACCCCACACATTTGGAGTTACTCCTTGATAAAGACCTCGTAGTCCATCAACTTTCCAAATAGTGGTCAAACAATGTACTATTCCTTTATATTTCGGTCTCAGTTCCAGTCCGTCACTCACTACACAATAAAGCATATAAAAATTAGTTAAAATTGAATTCTACCTATTCTATCTCGAATGAAATATTGATAAAGCCCTTAGTACAGTGCCTGGTAAATAGTATGTACTTTAAAAATATTTATTCTTTTCTTTTTCCACATTCCCCCTACAATCAAGGACCTGGGAAGGACATCAAAGGTCATCTAAACCAACCCCTTCATTTTACAAATAAGAAAACTGAGGCCTCAGGGTTAAGATTCTCATTGATGGTAAAAAAAAAGGATACATAAATGCTAACACTGTATAAATCTTTTTGTATGTGAGAACAAAATTCTGAAGATAAAATCCTTTATGTAAGAAAAAATTTCATTTTAAATTTCAGGTCCACACAGTACTTTTTCTTGAAGCTCTCAAAATGCTATAGAAATAACTTGTTCATGATCACAGTTATATTTTTCTTTAATTGATGGCTAGACCATGTTGTACAACCTACTCAATAAATTCCAGTGGCTCCCTACTGCCTTTAGAGAAAACAAAACAAAACAAAACAAAACAAAACTTCTGTTTAGCTTTTAAAGCCTTTGCAACCTGATCCCAAACTACTTTTCTGGCCTGGAAAAAATATTTTTGCATTGTTTTTATTTGTATTCTGAAGGTTTAACACAGTATCTGACACAGTTGATACTTAATAAATGCTTGCTGATGTACTAGATGTTGGATTTGAACCCAAGATTCCAAGGCAATTCTCTCCATACTACATTATGTTGAAGTAATGGATAGATGTTTCAAATGGGCAAATTTGGACTTCACATAAGGAAAATTTCTTTTTTTAATATATATTTTATTTTCTCCCTCACAATTTTTAATTTTTTTTTTTTAAAGTTTTGAGTTCCAAATTTATCCTTCCCTCTCAACCCCCTCCTTGAGATGGTAAGCAATCAGATATGGGTTATACACATGTAATCATGTAAAATATTATAAGGAAAATTTCTTAACAAAGTTATTCCAAAGTGTAATGTGCTGCCTAAGGAGGAGGTAGAATCTCCCTCAGTGAAGGATGTTTATGAGCAAAAGTTGTGATCACTTGGGCATGTTGTAAAAAGCATTTTTTTCAGGTATGGGTTGGACTGAAATCCATTTCAACTCTAAAATTATGTGAAAATCATCTTCAAATAAAAAACAAAAGAAGTCAATTTTCTTAATGAATGACAAAATGCTGAATACTGAATGTATATATAAAGGGAAAATCAGATTTCTTTTATTAAATCTGACAGACATTTTAAATTGTAAAAAGTGACAACTGTGTTTTAGCTAGTTACAAAAAAACCCAAAAGTTTTTTTTTTAACCTACAAACTCAAAATTTCTGACAGTTTTGCAAGTCTAAATTCTGTTTTAATAAATAAAGCAGGTCTTCCCCCCCTTCCCATCACACCCCCACTGGAGATTAGAGAGGAATCATTAATAGCTGAAAGGGAAAGTAAATCCGTTTTATAACTAATCTGCCCAATAGTGCTGTTTAGCTACTCCTTTAAAAGAATTATTCAATTTTTCTCTTACTCTTTTTGATGCTCTCCTTGGGTTTTAGGTTTCTCTTCCTCTTGCATGTCTTTTGATTCAGTAAATGACCTCCCTATTTTTCTCTCCTTCGTTTCTTTCAACATGAAGCTCATATCATTGTAATACTCCCCAGGTGGAGCTAAGAAGCACCTGGCTTGTCAAAGACCAACTGATTATGGCTCTAGTCCAAAGATCTCTGCATTTACTTTTTAAAAAAGTTATGTGTCAAAATTCTCATAATTATAGGTAATTTCCACCCTCTTTTCAGACAATTTTATTCCCTACTGTAAGATTTTACTCTATACTATACTCAGTCAGAGTCATGTCCATGCAGTACTATTTTATGTTGTTTGGTCATTTCAGTTGTGTCTGACTCCTTGCAACCCCATTTGGGGTTTTCTTGGCAAGGATACTGGAATGGTCTGTCATTTCCCTCTTCAGCTCACTTTATAGATGAGGAACTGAGGCAAACAATCCTGTGCCCAGGATCACACAGCTAGTAAAGTGTCTGAGGCCAAATTTGAACTCAGGCCTTTCTGACTCCAGACCCAGAACTCAATCCACTGTACCACCTAGTTGCTCTAAACCACTTTACATATAATAATAATTATAATAATAACTATCATTTATATAGTATTTACTATATACTAGCTGCCCTAGTACTATTATATACAGAACTTAAAAAGAAAAATAAAACATTTCATCCAAGATGTATATCACTAGAGCATAAAAATTCATTACTAGAAATATAGTACACAAAGTGAAAACTATTAAATGAAGATGTCTCATTCTGCATGACCTGCCTCCCCTCCTCCAAGCTCCCTGCTAGTTTTTTACACTTGTCTTAAAATTTTTAACTTCTGAGAAGTTAGCTAATAATTAGTCAACAAAAATTGAGCACCTGGTGAATGAATCACAAAAATTCAATTTAAAGCATGTTCATTAAATACCTACTATGTACAAAGGACTAGATACAAAGATAAAAATGAAAAACTGATCTGGCCCTTGAGTCATCTGCATGACAATAGGGGATACAACTGGTACACAGATAAAGAAACAGAAGATAATTTGAGAAGGAAAAGGGTACTAATAATTAATTAGACTATCAAGGGTTCTTAACCCTTTTTGTGTCATGCATCCCTTCTCATAATGCTTTTAAATGCATAGTATTATGAAGGAAAGCAATTATATTGAAAGTTACCAAAATGCATTTTTAAAAAATTCATGGATCCCAGTTTAAAAACTGTTGCTCTAGAATATCTTGCTTGGTGAACATATCAGCTCCCAAGATTTCCATTATCAACTCTATGCTGCTAATTCCAAGATCTAAATCTGCAGTCCTTACTGCTCTTCATCAATGGTTACCACCATAGTGTAAACTTTACCACATACCTGGGAAAAAACATACATACACACATGTATGTATACACACAGTGATAAATGGTAATAAATTGGTGTCCTTGCCTCAAATCTCTAAATATAAAATGCTCCATTCGGCATTTAAAATCTCTTTACCATCTGGCCCAGTCTTCTGAGACTATAAAATTCAGCAACACCTGCCTTCCTGCTGTACCTCACACACTACACTCCATTTCCTGTCTCTTGATTTTGTGCATTTTCACTGGCTATTAACCATGCCTGGAGTATTCTTCCTCTTCATAGTCAGCTATTGACCTCACAACTCAGCTCAAGTCCCACATTCTGCAGAAGGCCTTTTCTGGTCCTCCCAAGGCCTCCTCCAATGCCTTCCCTCTGAGATAACCCATCTGCTCTCTCTATTTTCTTTTATGTTCACAGTTTTTGGTATGCTGTCTCCCTCATTAGAATGTGAACTTCTTGAGGATAGGCATCATGTTTTTTGTCACAGTGTGAATCCCCGGCACTTGGTAAAAGTAACTAGCACAGAGTATAAGCTTAATAAATGCTTGCTCACTGTTGACTAACTCTGCTTTTAATCTGGTCATCACTCCTATTTCTTCTTCCCCCTTCTCCTCCCTCTCTCATAATGAAGGAGTCAGCCAATAGGATGCCAGGCTCTGTTAGGTGTGTTTTAGATTTATTTTGATAGGAACAAGGCTTTCATGCTACTTCTAGGTCATCCTCACACCACATTCCTAGCCCTTTATGTACTACCTTCCCCTATTAGAAAGGAAATTCTTTGAAAGCAAGAAATGAGTCTCACTTGCTTATATTCGTATCTCCAACTTTTAGTATAGTGTCTGGCACATAGTGCTATTAAATACTTAATATTCTCTCTTCCTTTTCAGGCTGTCATTCAGTCTCCCTTTGAACATTTCCAGGAACAATCACTACTTCAGAAGACAGCTCACTGTATTTTTGAACTAAGCTAAGTCTTAGAAAAATCCTTCTAATATTGAGCTGAAATACTATTCTGTAACTTCCACAAGGAATGTTACAGGCTGTACTACAGAGCTAGGAAGAGTAAGTTTAGTACTCCTCGTCTAAATGATAGTTTGATTGGTTTGACTGCTTGAATGAGGAATAACTGATACTTAAAAGCATACTAACGTATGCAAAGCGGTTTACATAGTTTCATTTGCTCCTCAGGGCAAATGTATGAAGTAGGTACTACAGGTATTATTATCTCCATTTCACAGACGACAAAACTGAAGCTCAGGAAGTCAGTAAACATCAGGGATGAGACTTGAACCCAGGCCTACCTTACTTCACACTACCTCATAATAATTGATTGTCTAGTGCTTTAAAGTTTGAGTTTTCCTCACAACAACCATTAGAGGTAGGTGTGCAACTATATATCTGTTTTACAGAGGAGGCTCTGAGATAGGACTTGCCTATTGTCACATAGATAGTAAGCTCCTGAAAAAAGACTTGTAACAGCCCAGAATGTTATTTGTACTATGCTTTCTACCATCATGGGTAGGATCATAGCTTTAGATCTTAGATTTCAGTTAAACTGGCATATTTCACATCTGAGAACAGGCAGGCGGAGTAACTTGTGCCCACCCCCCCCCCACACACAGCAGCAGAGGCAGGATTGAACCCAAGCCCTCTGACTCAAAATCTGGCACTCTCTCCCACTGTACTATATTGAATACTACTGTATATCATATAGAATCCTTCAATTAGCTCCCAAGGAAATGAATGGAATTCTCTAAATAATCTGATAGACCACTTTCCAGATTTAATACTTGAAATAAAACCTGATCTGTATGCAATTAAAATTTTAGACAATAATAAATTAACAACTTTAAAGCTGAGTTGTCCAAGTAGACTTTCCCGAACGTGAAAGAAAATTTGCTGTGCTTTCTTAATTTTGTTTCCACAAAATATTTTGTTTGATCCTGAGGCGGATAGTGCAGGTACTACTACCTTTATTTGACAGATGAGGAAACCCAAAGAGGTTAAATGCTCATCCAGTGAGTAAACATCCAATCAAGCACTCATTAAATGTCTTAGGTGCCAGGCAGGGTGTTAAACCGGGGTTATTTGTTTGTTGTCTCCCCCAATAGATTCTGAGCTCCTTGAGGGCTGGGCTAATTTTTTGCCCCATCACTTAGTGGCCACTTAAGTTCTTACAAATTGGTAGATTGAGATCTACAGGGACTCAACCTACTGGCGAGACAGCTAGCAAACAACTTCTGTAGATGCAAGTTAAGTACAAGAACAATTGGAGATCAGCACTAATATTAAGTAGACCAGGAAAGGCTGATTCCATCAGGGAATGAGATTTGAACTCGAATATACCTGGGGGTCATATTAGCATTTTATGTTTAAGATGTTCTGAGCTATAACGGTCTGTGTGTGGAGGGGGTGGGAACCTGCGGCCTCGAGGCCACGTGTGGCCCTCTAGGTTCTCAAGTGCTGCCCTCTGATTGAATCCAAACTTCACAGAACAAATTCCTTTTCAAAGGGCCTCACTTGAGAAACTACAGGGCCACGTGTGGCCTCAGGTTCCCCACCGCCAACACATACCATTATAGCTCAGAACATCTTAAACACAAAATGCGAATATGACTCAAACTTTCCAAAAATCTACTGTAGCTTCTGACGACGTATTTCTATATCAGAGGGAGTTAGACAGTGAGTTCCTTGAGAGTGGGTTTCTTTGTATCCTCAGCTCTGCCCACAGTGGGCGCTTAATAAATGCTCGCGGACAGAGACAACCTGAACCCGCGTTCAACGCCTTGGCCGCAGGTCGCAGAATTCCCTAAATCTCTCCGTACCTCAATTACTCAGTTAACTATAATTTGGGTATTTCAAGAAGAGATGCTCTGGAGGCAAAGGTGCAGACCACAAGAGGAGGAAAACCATGTACTGCCAAACCTCCCGCCGACACGCCGCGTGTGCGCCTCCCCGCCCCCAGCCCCCGAGGCTGCTGTCGTTGGGTGCCCTGTCATGTGCTTGTCTCCCCGTAACCGTCCTCGTGGCAGCGCCTCCAGAGCCCCCGCGCGTGGAGCAGGTGGAGGGCTACCGCACTTAGCGACGGCCCGAAAGCTGCCCCGCGTCGGCACCCCAAGGGCCGGGTCCCACGGCGGGGAGGCCCCCAGGGCAGGCTCCCCGGCCCCCCGCCCGCTCTGGGCCTCAGCTCCCGCCCCAGCAGGGACGAGCGACCGCGCGCAGCCGCCTCCGCCGCCCCCGCGGGGTGGGCGGCCTCTTACCGGCGAAGCGGATCTTCACCAGGTCGAGAGGATGCAGCGCCAGGTTGGAGAGGACGCCGCCGCTCACGCCGGCCACCAGGTTCTCGTACCGCACATGACGGAACACTGTATACAACGGCGAGGACCCCGCCGTCGACTGGCCCTGGGCCGGCATGATGTCGGGAGCCGCGGACACCACGGCGCCCAGGGCCGCAGAACTGGGACGAGACGCCGTCGCCGCCACTGTAGCGGCTGTCGCCGCTTGGATCGGCGGAACAGCGCGGGCCACGAGTTCGGGTCGGCGCGACCTGCACGCCGGCAGGGAGACAGCTCAGGAAGCCGAGGGCGGGGGGCGTGGTGGGGGCGAGGCGAGGGAGGCGCGGCGGAAGCCGCCGAGCGAGCCTGCGGGCAGAGTGGCGCGAGGCGGTAGAAGGCGCACGTCACGCAGCCGCGGGAGGGAGGCTCGCACCAAGCGATCCAACCTCCTTCCAAATCCCCGCCTCCGCTATCCGAAGACGAGAAACTACAAACCGCCGGGTCGTGGGCGGGGCCTGGGGGGGAGGGGAGGAATGGGACGGGAAGATGATTGAAAGACAGCTTCCGCCAGGCTTCGCTTACGTAAGCGGAAGTAGCGGCGGCGGTCAGAGGGGAAGGTGGAAGTCGCGTGGGCCGGAGAATTTGGTGGTGGGAGTAGGACGCGGCCGGCAAGATGAAGGTGAAAATGTTGAGCCGGAACCCGGACCATTACGTCCGGGAAACCAAGCTGGACCTTCAGAGAGGTGAGCGGGCTGTTGGGATTGGGAGAGGTGGGATCGAACAGCCCCCACTTCCGCCTTTCCTCACACGGAGCCCGGTCGGTGCCCTCGGAGTGAGGGCGGAGGAGGGTTGGCAGGACCTGAGCGACCACAAGTGGGGTGACTCGAGCCGGATCTTATTCTTGCCCTGCGTTACCGCGTTTTTCGCTCAGGTTCGTTGTCCCGAGTGGGAGGACACGTGAGGTGCCCCCTGAAGCGTACGTGCTTCCACACCCTCGGTGCGGGGAGGGCCCTAACTCTCCCCTTGGAGGGAGGACTTTTAAAGTTCACAAATTACTTTCAGCAGCTTGCTGAACGTTTGACATGAAGCACATGTTAAATCAGAAGCTCAGAACAGCCCTTAGAGGTGATAATAACAGCATTTATATAAAGCTTTAAGGTTTGCTAAGGGCTTTACAAATATCTCATTTGATTGTTACAACCACCCAGGGAGGTGGGTGCTGTTGTTTTCCCCATTTTACAGATAAGGAAACTAAGGCAGTGGTTAAGTGACATGTCCAGGGCCAAAAAAAAGCTACTGAACGACTGAGGTAGGATTTTGAACTCAGGTCTTCCTGACGCCAGGTCCAACATAGATGACTTCACCTCCTGACATCTAATCTAGCCTCTTCATTTTTCCGATGAGGAAACTGAGGTCCCTTTGTTCAGCAAACATATTAAGATCCTGCTGTGTGCCAGGGACAATGCCAGGCACTTGGGGCATACCAAGACAAAAATAAAACTGTCACTGCCTTCAGGGGACTTAGGGTTTATACCCAGAGAAAGGAATAGTTTGTCCAAGGCCACAGGACTAGTAATGGCTGAGCTCAGGCTTCAGCACTGGGCATTCAGACTTAATATCCTATACTGTTTACACTGAGTCTTGTGGGGAATTGTCATTATGCCTGCTGTGCCTGATTGTCCTCAAGTTGAAGTTGAAGACCTAACCATTTGGATGGTTGAGGAATGGAACAGTACTTAAAAGCTAAAGTAGTTTATTCTAGGCACCCATCCAGTTTCAGAATTGTACCGGCCTGCCTACTTACCCTTTTTCTTTCTCTTCTGCCTTGGTTCCTAAGCCATCTATCTTGCTGACCAATCCATTTTTCTGTCAACTCGGGTGACAATGTGGTGGGAAGAGTTTGAAACTAATGTTTAAAATTCAGACTGTGCCCTTCATTTATCCACACTTTCCATGCTCTTACTGACAGATATTTTTGAGAATTGCAAACTTTATGAAAATAGGATTAGAAGGCTACATCAAATCAACAAGAGCCTAAGGACTTACTGACTGTGCTATGTACAGTATTCTTGCAGAGGATGTTCACTTTCCTGGAATACTTCTCTTTTTCACTTGTGCCTTGTAAAAAAAAAATTTGTTGTTGTCATGTCTGTCTTTTTGCTTCCCCATTTGGGATTTATAATATATACAGGATATACAAATAGTATAAATAATATATACAGAGTATGTACAACACACACACATATATATATATTCTTCTGTATAAATATATGCATATACATACATACATGTATTTGTATGTGTGTATACCTATATACATAGATATACACACAAATATATATGAAGTAGGTAGTTACTAGTCCCCAAAGCTAGTTTGGGAGAGAAGGCAAGTAGTTGGGGGAATCAGGAAAGGCGTTGTGAAGATGGTGCTTGCACTGCATCTTAAAAAGAGAAGGACTCTTGAGGTAGAGATTAGGGTAGAGTGCAATTCAGGCATGAGACCAGCACAAAGGCATGGATATAGTAGGTGTAAAAAATAGAGAGATGGCCTGTTTAGATGGTTTGAAGAGAGCGGGAAAAAAGGATAATGTCCAGTGAGGCTGAAAAGATAGGTAAATAGTAAGGCCATGTTTTTCTACGGCTTTTAAAGAAGCTTCACAGAGGAGTTCATGTTTTATCCTAGAGGCACCTCTACATTATATGGTAGTTATTCTGTATATGTTTTGTATTAATTATATGGGTACGTGTTTTCCTTTCAAGAGAATAAAAGCTCTTTGAGATTGGGGATTGTTTTTTTCTTAAGTTTTTGGTTTTTGTATACTCTGGCACTAGTACTATGCTTGCCACATGGTAGGTTTTATATGCTTGTTAATTTAAACTGAGTTAAGCCCGTGGAATAGTTACGTAGGTCTTGTGACTTAGAAACAGAACCACTTTGTTATTGTTCAGTCTTGTCCTACTCTTCTTGACCCCATTTGGGGTTTTATTGGCAAAGATACTGAAGTGGTTTGCCATTTCCTTCTGCAGCTCATTTTACGGATGACAAAACTGAGGCAGACAGGGTTAAGTGATTTATGCAAGGTCACACAGCTAATAAGTGTCTGAGGCTAGATTTGAACTCAGGTCTTCCTGACTCCAGGTTCAGAGCTCAATCCACTTCTAACACCTAGCTACCGTAAACCACCTTACGTATCATGATAATAACTAACATTTATATAGAGCTTACTATGTGCCAAGCACTGTACTAAGTGCTTTACAATTATTATCTCATTTTATCTTCACAGCCCTGGGAGGTAGGTGCTGTTGTTATCCCCTTTTTACAAATGAGGAAACTGGTAAACAGGTTAAGTGATTTGCCCAGAGGCATATAGCTGGTAAATGTCTGAGGCCAGAATTGAACTCTGGTTTTCCTAACTCCAGGCCTAGGACTCTATCCACTGCCCTTAACAGCTCAGTGAGGTAAAGTTAGTGTTATTAACTTGATGTAGACAAAAGAGAACCACTGAAGATTTTTGAGTAGAAATGATGGACCAAGACAGTTTAAAGGTTATTTTGGTAACATCATGAAGTGTAGATGGTAGAGAGAAGTTAGGAGAAATGAACTAGATAGAGACTTTTTTTGTCTTTCTATCCCTAGAGCCTGGCATGCTGCTTGGCACAAAGAGGAGCCTTGGTAAATGTATCTTGAATGGAAATGGAAGAGGAAAAACCTGTTAGGCTATAGTCCAGGTGGGTGGTAATGACGGCATATAGTTGAGTGGTTGCTATTGTGATTAATAGCTTTCCAGGAAGGAAGCTTCTAGTTTGTTCTCATTTCTCTTGGACTATGTAAGTCTAGAAATTGTGTGGATAATTGAAATCCAATACTACTCTCCCAAATTTCATTTTGGGCATGAATTTTCACCTTTATTCTCAGCTTCTGTGCATCTTGCAAAGGAAGTGATGATAAACAGATGGCAGAATAGAAGTGTTGTGGTTCGGGAAATGACAATGTGAAAAACATTCTGTCACTGTATTTTAATTACATGATGTTTCCGCTAGGAGTACATTTTCTTGACCATTTAAGTGCCAAATGGTACTTAGTTAAGAATATAACATAATATCCAAATCCTATACTTTCTGGAAGGTCTAATTTAAGACTTGCCTCCTTTATAAAACCTTGTGTAATTCTCACATGACAGTGATTTTTTCTCTTATTTTGACTTCTTTTAGTCTTTTTTGTATTTTGTATAGTAGAAATTATTTACAAATAATAATTATTAAGGTCCCACTATATTCCAAATACCGTTAGGACCAAGAAGAATGACTTATACCTGCCTCTAAGTATTTGTAGTCTAATTGGAGAGCCAACTCATAAGCACACAGAAAATTAAATGACATTTTCAAGAAATGTCTTAACCCATGGGATTAGTTGGTTGGTGAGAAGGAGAAACATTGTGATACTGGAGAAAAAATGCTGGATTTACAGGATCTGAGATCAGATTTTTTTTTTTTTGCTATTTAACCATGCTTATGACATTAAGCAAGTCACTTTACCTTTCTGGGCCTTAGTTTCCTTATTTGTAACTCAGTGAGAAGGCTAAAGATAAGTGCCATGGGCTCAGATGATGAAGAGATTATTTGAGCCTAGGATGATTTAATGAAATACGATGCTTAAATTGCTAAGACTTTGAAGGATGGGTAGAATTTGAATTTGCCACAGGATGTACAGAGGGACTAGAAAGTAACTTGTAGATCTCAAATCCTTTCCCTCCTTATTTCTGCTTCTTTGGAGCTCTAGCTTGCTTCAAGGCTCAAGTGCCATACCCAACAGAGGTCTGTCCTAATTCTTCTCATTGTTAGTGTTTATATTTTATATTTATTCATCTGTGTAGAAGTGGAAGTTTTTCCACCCAGTAAATGAAAGGTTCTTGAAAGCAGGAGCTAGTTTGTTGTCTCAAGCTCCTTGCATAGTGCTTGGCAGTAGGTGCTTTAATAAATGCTTATTAAATGAAGGGATGAATCTAGCCCAGTTCTCCAGTTTTAGAGATAAAGAAATTGTGGTCTAGATGGTTTGCATTAGTTGTTTAAAGCCACACTAGCAGAGCCATCATTTGAACTGACATCAACTTTTATACATCTGTATACTCAGGTATTGAGAAAGGAAGTCAGTGTGCCATCGTGGCTAGAATACTGGCCTGAAAACCAGGAAGACCTG